TTTTATGAACAGTTGGTGTAAGGGTTTTTACACTACGCCTGCAATCCAGAGGTCGTGTGTTTGATTCAAACCTCCTGGCGTGGCAGTTGAAACATTGGGCAAGTTTATTAAGCCTCCGCACCTTTTCGTCCAGCATAAGTGGGTACTCGCACAGTTCATCGATCGGCAGGTCGTGGCTGGTGGGGTAGAGTGTGGGTACTCTCACCACTTTCAAGGCACCTGGCCAGTAAGGAAGAGTAGACCAAAATACCCTCCAGATGGACCCTCTGGAGATTCCTCTAGTGCTGGCCCTTCAGTCAGCAGTGGCATGAGCAAGCAATTGCAGGGGCTGCACCTTTACATTTTACTTAGAGGTTACAAGAAAAAACAAGCATGAGCCTACATTTTTACAAATTTAATCTCTCCGATGGAATTTTAAATAGAGGTGATAATGAACACAGCAATTGTCATTTCATGGGAGAAAACCATAACAATCATGGCACTCGGCAAGCATTTATATTAATTTCTTGTAGCCAGCTGTTTAATACAGCACTGAAAGCATAATCTTCAAGTTTGCAAGAGTTATTTTTTGTATGAAAGGCACCTTGCTCTGAACTCTATTTTTCATGATTTTTGTAAGAAGAATGTACAAATTGAAATTCACAAGCCAGTCAGGTCCAGACCTGCATTGAAGACTTTGCGAGCGACCCATCCGTGAGACCTTCACATTCCACTTGGACTCTCGCCGTGAATAGGACCCGGCACGTAACTAATTGCCAATTTTGTTAATTTGGTCTTCTATCGATTTCCTACACCGGAAACCCATTCAGGCTTCGTAAGTATTGATGACATGGCCATTCGTTTATTTTTTTATTAACGTGATTGTTTTTTTTTTTTAAACTCTGTTTAGATACATTTCATTTCAACAAACATCCAATCTCTATCTACTTATATTCATATTCTTAGCTCTTTCGGTAAAGTCACGTTGAAGGGAAACAATAAAATAATAAATATATATGAAACAATTAAAAAATATCTTCAACGTGACTTTACCGAAAGAGCTAAGAATATGAATTACGGCAGTCACGAAAGCTTTAAATCTCTATCTACTTGTGAACTTCTGTTGCGGGAGATCGCTACCCAAAACCGTCGGCGAGGATTGACAGTACTGTTCGCGACACCTTAGGTCATTCGCATCCTCAAATTAGCAAACTGGACCATTACTTCCAAGAGAACATGTGACATGTAAATTGATGATGTGACATTTAAGAATCGGTTATTGCTTTGGGTTCAACACAGACTGAAACTGGGTCAGAGATTCTGAGCCCACTTAGGCTGTGGCGATGGGACCTCGTAAACCTCGTAGTTGCTCCGTTGTGTTTCGCCGATTAACATGCAAGAGCAATGCACACGACATGTTGCCTGGCCCTAATATGAGATAAATTGTGGTCAGCATACATTGCTTCAAAACCTGTTGACACGAGTCTGGTTCCCGGCCGTGGCTAACATCGGTGGCGAGGGGTATCTGAACTGATCCCGGGGACTCTCGCTTTATTTATCCACACTGGCCGACGTGGCACGGGGAGACCTTTATCCAGAAAGTGGTTTAACAATTGGCTGCAAGTTAGGATGTTTACAATGCATGGTGTGTTAACACGTAGCGCAAATCGATTAATCGAATAAATGTTTTCTCATACGTCACGGCACACACGTTGAACTGTGCATGTTAAAATCGATTGCTTGTGATTTATTAAAAACTCTATACAAAATATACACACTACATAAAAAAACAATTGTCGAGACTTTAATTCAGGCTAATGCTTCCAATAAAACAGTATGAGTGAGACAAAAAAAACGTGGAACAAAATAAACGGAAAAAAATACAAGGATAATGGATTCTTTAATTGAATTAAAACGAGGCACCACAGTGGCAAGATGGTATGAAAAAGGTCGCGGGTTCATTCCCGACCCTAATACTTATATATTTGGAGTTTGCATGTTCTCCTCGTGGTTACGTCGATGTTTTTCCAAGTCCTCCAGTTCTTCCCTCCACATTTAGAAACAACATGTGTTTGGAGTATTTGTCTGCTATAAATTTCCATATAATAATCCACTATCATTTGTGGCCAGGTTGCTTCTGAAAAAGAGCTACATAGCTCAGTGGGCCTTACCTAGTACATTAAACATAGTAGTAGTAGCTTAATCGTGGCATTCGTTTATTGCGCAAAAGCGTTATATTCCTAATGTTTTAATTGATCAACGTTGATAGATGTGGCATGTCTGTGCATAAATGTGGCAGTCTGTGCATTCTGAAGTTGAGTTGTTGCCGTGGGTCACTTGCCTCCTCTCTCACAGCCGTTACTCATTAGCGCATCAAGGCCGCGGAGGAGGAGCGGCTTCGTGAAGTTGACGCATGCCTCTTAGTTTGCCAATTGTTTAAGTAGAAGAAAGGACCTGGCAGCACAAGGCCAGGTTAACGGGTGCAGAGGGGTTAATGGCAAACATTTGTGTAGCATGGGCGACAAGGCTGCGCTATACCCTGATGAATGGTCGCCAAATGTGCTTCAGGCTGATTCAAGAGCAGAGCTGGCTTTACTTTTTAACATTATTCCACTGTTTTATTTTATTTGCCTTAGTTTGTTGAGGCATTCTGTTTCATCAGCTGCAATCACAGACACTGGGGCGGGGGGGGGGGTGCTCAGAGAATAGATTTTCTCGTAATAACGGCGAGTGATATTTTGAGATAAGAGCATTCCGCGTTCCCGTGGGTTTTCATTTTTGCATTGCTTTGGTCCTTTGCTCGGTACATCCCCGCGTGTTTTCGAGCACTGAATGTCACGTGGAGTAGAGCAGTGGACTAGTGGCTCGTGCACTGTGTTCTAAACCCGAGCCGCCTCAGTTAGATTTCATGTCACGGCTAACATCGGTGGTGGGTGATACCCGAACTGGTCGTGGGCACCCTCTTCACCAAACCCACGCTCTCCAGCGCGGTGAGGTATGGCGTGGAGAGGTCTTTGTCCAGCAATGATTGATAACCGGCCGTACATTATTTATTATAGCTCCAGCTCTCAGTACGATATTTGGGCCCTCCACTCTCAAAATAGCCCTTATGGGAGACCTGAAGGTGTGACAGTGGTGATGTACATGTAAGCATCCTGTTTACAAAGTTTTTGACTTTGTGCTGGATTTAATGGCTTGAGTAACATGGGAGTCTTTCTTTAATTATGAATGACGTATAAGCAGTCTGATTCTTTGAAAAGGGAGGCGATTATGTTCTTGGTAATTGTATGCTGAAAATAGTGGGATATGGCATTGTAGGTGGGAATCCACGTAGCAGAGTGGAACATTAATGTGCATTTTTTAATATTCAGAATGTCATACAAAATATTAATATTCACCTTCCGTGTGCTGCACACTGTGTTGTACATTTCTAAGGTGTGTGTATGCATTCATATGTTAGAGATATGTTTTGTTGTTTCTATGTGGAGAGACAGGCTTTTGCTTGCTTATTTATTTATGTGTATGTTGCCCTATAGACCCTCGATAGTCGAATAAAATGACTCTTGCAAATTACCATCTGGCAACAACGTAATTTGTTTAACGGGACTTGATATCTGCTGATGAGAGCCAGCAGGTCAAATCTGGTCCATAGTTTTGTCCCCTTGAACAATTGGTACTGGCAAGCGCTGCCGCTTTTGAAGGAGTGAAAATATATTTTGTTTTACGTGGATCGATGGGCTTTTTTGAGTGCTTATTTATTTACCCACGGCCTTCCATCACAACACAAACAGTAATATTTACAGTATGTCATATTCACAAAAAAAGTTGCATTCAAATGTGTTGATGTGCAGTTTTTCTCTACAAATGTTTGTGAGCGGTGTGCCGTTTATATGCATTAATATTATTACGTTTATATTCAGGTCTATTGTGCCACATGTGCATCTTATAGTGGGGGAATTTCATCATTGAGTGGGTGCGCCCATATATAGGAAGTAATTGGCTGTATATATTCGCAGAGTAGATGCTTTTCACCACACTGGCATTTCACAATGAGATGATTAGAATATGCAACACAAAGCATTAATCAGCGTCGCTCTCATATATCTGTCTCTTCAAGTAAATAACAAAAATCTTTGTACACGCTCTTAGCCGCACTGTCATTTACAAAATGAAACATGTTATCTGATGATGCCGCGTTGGAAATGGTGCACAAGCACAAATAACAACTCAACACGTGCAGTCAATAACACTGTGGCCTTAAAAATAAAAACGTGATTGGTGACATATCGGGCAATGGCTTTTATTTATGGCACTTAATTAGCTGTCATAAAGCATAATATAAATAGTTCATGATCACTCTTCCTTAAAGTTCGTGGTTAGAGTATAATCCTCAAACGGGGATTCACTCCATTTTTTACGTACAGCACAGTAACCATCGATTTGTCATTATCGTCTACCTTAGGGCAATTTTGTCTCATAGATTACCTCTTGGATCAGTATGAGGGGATTGCCCCCAGCCAGCCTTCGAACAGTAACGCGTGTTGAACATGCGCATGTGTTGGAGCATGCCGTTCAACAGTGCGGGGTGTCCCGTGTCTCTGGCGTGTGTCCTGTCCCTGTGTGCCGTGTTTGTACGCGGAATACGTGCGCTAGTGTCGTGCCGCACGCAGCCTTTGCATTGCTCACACCGAGTGCGCTGCATGCGAGCGGGATGTGAACTCAGCGACCCGAGTTCTGTACCCGCTCATGGCGTCCCAACACCGGTGACGGATTATCTGAACCCGTCCTGGGCCTCCCGTTAGGTCGACTCAGCCTCAAACGAGTACCTGGTGTGGCGTGTGAACATCGCCGCTGGGGAGACTGACGCAGTCAGCCGTGGTGCTGGTCACCCGCCCCGTCGTGTGCCGTGCCGGCTTTCATAGGTGTTACTCGCTAACAGCACTTGCCCCAAAAATCTGTTAAGGCTATAAAGGGGGATCGTTATCTTTGTTGCGCGCACGCCCGTCGCCGTTCTCTTGCAGGAGTGCGAGCTGAAGGAGCGGCATCAGGAGAGCGTGCGGCTCGGCAAGGAAACAGCCCGGCTCCAGCACCGCACCCAGCAGCATGAGAGGGTGAGGCCAGCGCAGCACCGCACCCCACAGCACTCTCTCTGCAGACTGTGTGTCTGTGAATCACAGCTCCTTCGTGATAGCCCCGTGCTATGAGAATGGCGCAAATATGAAATGCGCTCAATAATCACATGGTTTCGAATTTGCAATCATATGCCACGTGTGTATGTTCCACATGTATGCGCCGCGCATGTGCATCCGTTTGTATATGCAAATCTCTCCTCCTGCCCGACAATACTTCTCGCAACGCGTTATCAAAACGGCACCTGCGTCTCACTCGGTAGGCCAGCTCGCTGAGACCAGACCACCCGGGCTGTCGCCACCGGCACTACATTGTGAATGTGCACGGTTGGCCCATTTTTGTCGATCCACTGCTTCTCCATGCTGGTTGGTGAAGGTGGGGAGAATATACAGTGGAGCATAGTAGAGTCCAACAATGGATGTTGCTGAACTGCCCCTGACCGACTAGAATAGCTGCAGCCTACAGCACCCGATTTACGTGTGGTGGTGGTCGCCCATCCGGATGCTATCCAGGCCCAAATCTTCTTGGCTTCCGAGATCTGATGATATCGGGTCCATTGGAGGTGCTTCGGTCATTGGCTAACCAATCGTGCGATTTCATCAGCATTAATACTCTCAGATACATTATTTATTCAGTTCCTGTAAGTAATGCGGTCTCACTGTTTCCATTTTGTCCTCTTTCCACTGTTGCTTGATGAATTGCGATGATTAAAAATGCACAATCTGAGATGCAGGTGGGCAGCTCAGGGATCACCGCTGAGGCCCTGGATTCTAATTTGCCTTTCGGCTGCCTCTGATTTTCAAGTGTAGCCATTTTGTGGCCTCAACCCGGTCACCGATGATTGCAACAGCAAAAAACCTCCGCGTAAAATTATTTTTTTCTACCTAATTTTTCTATTTTTCAGTTGAGAGAAGTTTGGCTGCTATGCAATGAATTCGTCCCCGTAGCAAGCACGTGGCAAGCCCCTCCGGTCTGGGTAGAGAAGTAAAGAGGTCATTTGAAAGGGGCTCACGAGAAGTTCTGTCATCTCCCCTTCCGTGGGCCATTCTCTCGCACAGCTTGATCCACTGCTCTGACCTAAATCCGAATCGACGTTTAGTAGCACGACGTGGCACCGACAGCACGATTTTCACACGCAAGCAGAAAACGTGACTTATAAAATGCTATTGTGAATGTGACGTGTGTTTTATAATTGCACCTTCAAAAAGTAGACCTTACCATTTCTAAGGGAAGGAAGATGCACTGATTATTCCGTTAATGTCGTTTAAGCTCACGGCAGTTGTATTGAATGGTGTGGGTGTGTGGTCATCGTTGTCTTTTGAATTGTGTGTGTTTTGGACAAAAGGTTGCTTCTTGAATTGAATTGTGACCATGACTCGTAACAATTCATTGCATTGTTACACATCTGGTATGAATGTAATTTTTATTGGATTGAACTACACATCAATGTCAAGACGGTATACGGAGCATCTGAATTTTTGAGCGATATCCCCATCGTGACCCACAATGTAGAGGAATGCCTCCGGCAAAGGGCGACACTTTCTGTAAACGTGATTTTACCAGCCTATACCCAGAATTAATCCAAATGTTCCACACTGTGTTATGCCTATAAAGCTGCCTCAGAGCTAACGGAGTACTTAATGTGGGGGTGATAGTGAATGTAATTAATTACATTTAGCATTTAATTATTGATCTAAGCGTCAGGAGTGAATCATTCTCGAACGTCAGAGGTGACCGGCTGTCATAGGTTAGTGATGGAAGATGAATGGTTTGTCACCGTTTGCTGGCGTGTTTACACTGCGCGCATTCTCGTAATCTGACGCGGTCTTACCATGTGCACACCAGAGAGGTGTGCTGGATGCAGGATGCCTGCTCTGCATTGCAGAGATCCTGGGCTCAAATCCAGGATTAAGCATCCCATGATTGCACTGGGTTCTCACGTATAAAGAGTTCATGGTCTCAGCTCAGTTACCAATGACTGAACAAAAAATAATATTAAACTTGTTTTTTGTTACCTTATCTCACATATTCCAGTTCTTAGATGTAATCCTTTCGTTCAGTAGCATGTGACGATCAATCTTTGCTGGGCCCTCAAAGGTGTGCTTATAGTATGAATAAAGAAGTGTATTGTAATTAATTTATTGGTAGTTATGTGGCATCATCTTCCGTTACGACATGACAATTCTGCCCCCCCAAAATGTTTTTGAAAAATGTTTAATTAAGAGTTATATTTAAAGACGCGGGTGGAGCAGTGGCTAGTTGGTTCTCACACTGCATTACAGACCTTGTGTCTTATTCCAGATTAGCATTACTGCCGGCTACTGACAATAAATCCCAACGTATAATGTGTGATATGTAATAATTTGACGTGGTAATTACATCATAGTAATCATTATAATGACGAAGAGCCCGCCTCGCCCCGTGTTTTCCCAGGAAAAGACCGAGTGGCAAGAGCGAGTGAAGGCTGCAGAGACCGAGAAGGGCTCCCTGGCAGAGGAAAACCACCAGTTGCGCGCCAAACTGGACAGGTTTGAAAAGGTAGCGTGTACCCAGAGCACCCCCGTGTCGTCACCGTGCCCTGCTCCCTGTGGGAGGTTTCACTCATCTGTGTGCCCCATCTGACCAAGATGTTTTTAAATTACCGCAATGAACACTGGTGGCGCGGTTGTTAATGCATCGTGCAATGAACTCGGTCACCCCAAATGGGTTCCCGGCAACGGTTAACCTCAGTGGCGAGTGAAACCTGCACTCGTTCTAGACCTCCCCCTGTCGCTCCCTTTCACCAACCCGCACTGACCAGCGTGGTGAAGTATACTCTAAACAACCGTTATTGACGAACAAGCATGGGGAGACCTTCATCCAGCAGTGGATCGACAAAGGTCTATAAGTTACTCATTAATACAGCCGACTAATAGTATGACATTTCTGTAACATTTCATAGTTAAATCTAAATGCATACTTTAAACTGCAAATATATCTCTCTATTTGAAATAAGGGAAATGTTCTTTGCACATTGCAAGTAACAAACTACACATTTTATCTCACCGATGTCCAATGTGGTCACGAATAAAGGAAACTGAATTAATTATTACGGCGATTAAATATGTTGCTTTTTTTTCGATTGTGGGTGCAGTTAAAGCCATTCAAATATGGTGGCCTTGTTTTTTGCTTATATATCTGCTGTGACCTACAAATATCCCTGCAATGCACCAAATCTCATTTGATCTCAGAATCTCTACACCAGGGTTGACACAGGCTGCTGAGGGGATTCGTGGTGGGCAGTACAGGGCAGTGTGCCACAACCCATATTTGTACTGTACTTTACTGCCACGTGTATTTAGTAATTGGTTAAAAAACAATTCCACCTTGGAAATCACTCGAGGTGGAACATCTCATTTGCGAGGGTGTTCCAGGCTGCCGATTGGCACACGCACCTCCGATTAGCACAGTTGGCTATGTACGCTGCAAAATAAGTTCAACATACATACAGTGAGGGAAAAAAGTATTTGATCCCCTGCTGATTTTGTACGTTTGCCCACTAACAAAGCAATGATCAGTCTATAATTTTAATGGTAGGTTTATTTGAACAGTGAGAGACAGAATAACAACAAAAAAATCCAGAAAAACGCATGTCAAAAATGTTATGAATTGATTTGCATTTTAATGAGGAAAATAAGTATTTGACCCCTCTGCAAAACATGACTTAGTACTTGGTGGCAAACCCCTTGTTGGCAATCACAGAGGTCAGATGTTTCTTGTAGTTGGTCACCAGGTTTGCACACAGCTCAGGAGGGATTTTGTCCCACTCTTTGCAGATCTTCTCCAAGTCATTAATGTTTCGAGGCTGACGTTTGGCAACTCGAACCTTGAGCTCCCTCCACAGATTTTCTATGGGATTAAGGTCTGGAGACTGGCTAGGCCACTCCAGGACCTTAATGTGCTTCTTCTTGAGCCACTCCTTTGTTGCCTTGGCCGTGTGTTTTGGGTCATTGTCATGCTGGAATAGCCATCCACGACTCATTTTCAATGCCCTGGCTGAGGGAAGGAGGTTCTCACCCAAGATTTGACGGTACATGGCCCCGTCCATCGTCCCTTTGATGCGGTGAAGTTGTCCTGTCCCCTTAGCAGAAAAACACCCCCAAAGCATAATGTTTCCACCTCCATGTTTGACGGTGGGGATGGAGTTCTTGGGGTCATAGGCAGCATTCTTCCTCCTCCAAACACGGCGAGTTGAGTTGATGCCAAAGAGCTCCATTTTGGTCTCATCTGACCACAACAGTTTCACCAGTTGTCCTCTGAATCATTCAGATGTTCATTGGCAAACTTCAGACGGGCATGTATATGTGCTTTCTTGAGCAGGGGGACCTTGCGGGCGCTGCAGGATTTCAGTCCTTCACGGCGTAGTGTGTTACCAATTGTTTTCTTGGTGACTATGGTCCAGCTGCCTTGAGATCATTGACAAGATCCTCCCGTGTAGTTCTGGGCTGATTCCTCACCGTTCTCATGATCAATGCAACTCCACGAGGTGAGATTTTGCATGGAGCCCCAGGCCGAGGGAGATTGACAGTTCTTTTGTGTTTCTTCCATTTGCGAATAATCGCACCAACTGTTGTCACCTTCTCACCAAGCTGCTTGGCAATGGTCTTGTAGCCCATTCCAGCCTTGTGTAAGTCTACAATCTTGTCCCTGACATCCTTGGAGAGCTCTTTGGTCTTGGCCATGGTAGAGAGTTTGGAATCTGATTGATTGATTGCTTCTGTGGACAGGTGTCTTTTATACAGGTAACAATCTAAGATTAGGAGCACTCTCTTTAAGAGTGTGCTCCTAATCTCAGCTCGTTACCTGTACAAAAGACACCTGGGAGCCAGACATCTTTCTGATTGAGAGGGGGTCAAATACTTATTTCCTTCATTAAAATGCAAATCAATTTATATCATTTTTGACATGCGTTTTTTCTGGATTGTTTTGTTATTATTCTGTCTCTCACTGTTCAAATCAACCTACCGTTAAAATTATAGACTGATCATTTCTTTGTCAGTGGGCAAACGTACAAAATCGGCAGGGGATCAAATACTTTTTTCCCTCACTTTACGTAACGACGTCTTTGCCCATCACCGTCACCAACCCACACTGACCAGCGTGGTGAAATATGGTCAGAAATATGCCCAACCACTTCTTGGTGTGGTGAACATTGTATGCGTATGGGAATGTTGTCCCCATCCCTGTGCAGGCGCAAGCTGAAACGAACAAAGACCACGATGACGTTGTGCAGGTCCTGGAGGTGAGTGGATTTGTCTGACCCACGGCCACAGGTCCCTATGACCCGTGGCACTCAACCGATTTTATTGGTTCCATTACTCTGCCAATATCATGAAAATATTTTGGGGGAAATTAAAAAAGGCTCATCTCTTTTCCCACGTGTATCGCTAGACCAGAGATGCTTGGCGGGGCTTGGTAAATTAATCGGTACTGTATAATCTCCACGCCACACTGGCCGTGGCTCGTAGGGGCCCGACTCATCGACCACAAATAGTAGTTGATGATAATGTTCAGTTAATTCATTGACTTAATGGACTAATTGTCCCAGCGCTACATAGCACTCTACTCTTCTTCACGTGCCCTTCTCTCAAGTCGCCAAGCCCTTCTCTCTGCTACATGGGAGGTCGCTCCTTATCTGCTGTCCCTCCCCCCCCCTGCAATCTGGAACTCTTTTCCCCCTGGCAATCCATTCCATCAACTCCCTGCCCCGATTTACTTTTATTCTCGAGACTGTCCTCTTATCTTCTGCCTCTTGAATTTATCATAACTATATGTATCTATTTAGTTGTGGTGGTTCCTTGTAGTGACCTACAATGATGTGACAGGCCAGTGTATGTCAGCTCTCCAAAACAAGCATTCCATTGAGATTCATCACAGTGTGCACGTCCCTTGCTTTTCTGTACAGTGACTTGAGTTGCAGCTACATCTTTAGACGCTCTATAAATACAAATGGTATTCCATTGTAAATGCTCCTGTCTGCCCTGTGAATGCTGGACAGTCGGACTATTTACACTGACAGGTGCGGAGGACATTGCACAGAACATAACAGTGCTCCACTGCAATGTAATGGATGAGGGTCAGGCCAGGACATGGTTTTCACTCTTGATTTATTTTACAAAATGATTCGCACATGAGCTGTGCGTTTGTCTCATTTGCAACAAGGAGCTGTGTGCTGCCGACCTGAAGGCTGTGGCGCTCGTAGGTAATATTGCGGACACTTGCAGCTGTTACAACAGCACCCGGTAGTCCACTGCTGTGAAGTTTATCAGAGGATGTTCTATGGAGGTGTGACAATTCACCGTCCAGTCGGATACGACGAATCATCGTGATTCAGGCTCCATCGTTCACTGAAACAAAATAGTGTTTTTGTGAATTCTGTGGTGAATGTAGTGGCCACTAGTGGCTGCAGGTGTCATGGGAGCCTATTACAGACAACATAGGAATAGACAATATTTATTCACACGCACATGTTTTGTAGGAATTAACATTAATCGATTAATTGAGGCATTAGGAAACTTCTGCACATATATTTTTTTCCAGGAACATTGAAAATTGTGTATTTGTTACTTGCCATGCATTGGTGTTAGTGTTTTCCCAATTGCCCTCGAATGCGTTGTCTTTTTGCACTTACACGTTTCAAGAAAATATTGAATCCTGTACATATTTGCTATTTCTGCGTACCTGTGAAACCAAATTTTACTGTCAAGCCTTTGTTTTGGTTCAATGCTGAGTGATTGCTTGGAGGCACTTGGCCATCTGCGGCGATATTCTGGCACTTTTGTGCGATCGCAGAACGTGTTATTTTCCTCGCCGTTGAGTTTGTCAGGGTAATGTGCATTGCATGTCCGCTGTGCCCCACTGTGTCATTACAGCAGTGGCTTTCAATCTCCCTACACTCCCCACGTGAACTCTTTTTACATAATTTTTTCAGCTTCCCTCCCTCCTTAGCATCCCGCACCACACCTCCCACCTCCACTCTGGCTGTCAGTATTGCACTGCAGACAGTACCTGCCTCTTTCTCGACAATTAACTTCTGAATTTAAATTTTGTATTTGTTATCTTCTCAAAAGAATAAGTATTAATGCTGGAAGTGTCTCGCAATCAGTGGGCTTTGTTTGGATGCCAAACTGTGGTGAATTGGAGAGCTGTACCCTTGGCCAAATTCAGTGCAGGGCAGCCATTGGAATACAGTTAGTTAACGATGAATTAACATAGAGAAAAAATATAGACCATCTGGCACCATGCTGCCAAGAGGCAATTATGTTGCTGGGGTCTTGGCCATGTGTTATAGAAATGCTTACAATTGCTACATTCCCAATTGCCCCTGATTGTGATCATAATAGGGATGGAATTGGAGCTAATGGACAGGCGAGGTGTTTCTCCAGGGTCTCAGCTTCCTCACCGTTGTGCTCGACATGTGGTTAACGATAATGGCTCAAGAGCACAGGGCTCCCAGCTCACCCAGTCGAGCGTCTCACCAATCACGATATTCCTTGCAGTCACAGGTTCGTGAGAGACAACTTTAGCCTGGCGCCTTAGAGGAAGGGTTTGTTGATCAAGCAGAGATCACAATGTGTGTGTGACACCCATCAAAAGAGACAGCGATGATCTGGTACGTGGTAGTACATTAAGTAGGCCATTTACCTGCACTCGTTTTTGTTTTGGGTAGAGTGGAGGCACTGTGCTATGAAACTGGCAACTTGAGTTTGATTCTCAATCATTGCTAACATCAAAGGTGAGTGATGTCTGAAACGCCGCCATACGGCGTGATCCCACGATCGACACTGCGTGCAGCAGTCCTCCGTCCAGCTGCAGAGGTATAGCAGCATCAACCACTTCGAACGTGATGACACCTTGTGACCTTGCCATGCCGGTGACCGATGCCGACCGCCGTTCCCGGTGGCGCGTGCTCGCACGGCAGGCGAAGGTGCACGACCTGGAGGAGTGGTGCCGCACGCACGTGCACCACCAGTTCGGGCAGGTCTCCCACGAGCTGGAGCGATTCGGCCTGCGCAAGGCCCACGGCGACGCGGTGAACGGTGGAGCCGCCGGGCCCCCCGAGACGCAGCCGCGGCTGCGTGCGGCGACTCGCGGGGGCCCCGAGGCAACCGGGCCGCCGGCGGAACCTCCCATGACCGCGGAGGCCGGCGCCGGTCGTCATGAGCTCACAAGAGCTGCTGCCGTGGCCGCTGCCTGGTCCTCGCCGGGTCCCCCAGAGAGGATGGACGGGACGGCCTGCGTGGCTCACGTGGTCCCACTTCCTGCCGGTAACATGCCCAGCTGCCCGCCCACGTGCGCTTCGTTGCAGATTTGTGATTGTGCATAAATATCCGGGTGCGGTGGTGCTGCACGCGGACACTTTGTTCTTCTTTCCTGCGGAGTGGAGCGGTGGTGAGCGCACCGTGCCCTGAACCCGGTAACCTGGTGGTGATTTACAAGTCGGAGCAGAGAGCTAACACTGCTGAGATCATGGATTCAAACCCAGGCATCGGCCACTCATGGTTACTCAGGGGTTTCTCAAGATCAGTGTGTTGATGGTCTGTGTATGGTCACCAATGACTGTACAAAAAAATAAATGACTTTAGGTTCGGACTTTATTTTGCTTTTAATTAAAAAAAACAATGCAACTCAGACTTTGTCGAAAATTAAAAAAGACCACTTTAAAGTTTTTTTGACAGTCCTGTGACACATACTTCTGGAGCTGTCTCCTGACGTACGCTGGTGTACTGCTTCTGTGAGATATGCAAATGTATTCTGCATATCATTGCACGATACTGAAAAGCACATTTGGAATAAATTGTAACACAGTAAAAATAAATAATTATAATAAACAGACTATAACCACAATATGCTTTGGTGTAACCACATCTCTAAACGCTGTACAAATTGGGCAATCTGCACATGGAGATTATTAAAAGGACATAAGCACATTGGCCGGCTTTTCATATATCAGTACTCGCCGGTGCACTCCAGTCACTCACTCACTCACCGGTGGTCAATGCTATGTATGCATGTGGAATTTCTTTTGCACCGTACGTAGCCAAACATGCTAATTGGAGGTGTGGGGGGAAGGACAACAAACTATACACAAAAAGCAGTTCTACCTTGGTTACCGTCCCTGTGAACTTCACTCGTTGAATCCTCCATCTAAGTTGAGGAATCGCTCTATCGGACTGACTGTCTCATCTCATCCACACTGTGTTCAACCACCACACTGCAGGTCACGCACAACGCTTTCCTTTCTGCTTTTCTCCTTGGACCACTCGACTTGGGAATTTTCCTCCCGTCATCACTTTCCCAAGCTCTCGTAATAACCTTGTTCAATTCAATTCAAGAAACATATTAACTCTTACCCTATTACACCTTCAGCTGTGCTGTTCGTTGCTGCCCGCTTGGCATTTTGCTCCTTGGGGTCCTGCAACCGTGATTTCCAATTTAAAAAAACACAAACATGAAGCTTATACATTTTAAATACCAAAATGGTTGTACAACATCTGACAAATTGTATTCAATTACACAACCATAATTGCATGGGCAAAACAGCAAATCATAATTACAGTTTTTATCTTCAGTGGGGGCCGGGGGTGGAGTGGATCGTGAAATCGGTGCTTTGATTGATGGCTCAGGTAGCGGGCTGCTTGTCCAAACTTGTAATGATATGCTCGTAATAACCTGACCTGCACCGTGCTGTAAGTGTATAATTTATCCCGGCTAACATTGTTTGATATGGTTGCCCATATTAATGGAAAGTGCCTTGAATAATAATTATGGTGCAGCCTGTTTTGTGTTCCCGTGGCACATTCTGCATTCAGGACATTTTGTCACGAGTGGGGGCAGGCATGAGTTATAACAGAGGGTCACAGTGCCTTGATATAATTTTTCAGAATACAATAAGATATTAAATTTCTCCCGATGACGATTATTTGAGATATCAGTTTCCCATGATGTTGTAAATGTACTTCACATGTGTACTGTATTGCTGTTGCGACTCTTGTGAAATGAAGATTACTGAAAAGCTCCTCAACTCTGCAGTTTGCTAAACTTAAGCTTGCCATATGTGGTCTAATCATGATACCTTTACAGTCTATAATGCTTATAATGCACGTACACCACCAGTAAATGTTGCCGTCATACGATCGCCATGTCGTCAATTACTCCCAGAAACATTTTGCAAAGCATTAACGGATAATGTAATTTTTTTACTTTCATTTTGGTTGTGACCTTTAATCATCGTTTTTTCAGAAATCTTTTTTTTCAAGAAAAATTAAATATTTTGTAAAAAATTAACGCGATGCCATTTCATTTAACAAGCGGACTTTTGCGACCGGTATCATGATTCATTATTTATTTTTAGGTCAGATCACGCGAGTAATACGACGCTATACTCTTTGGTTCTATTCGGTAAAGTCACGTAGGTAAAAAATAAAATAACAAAAATCACGACGTTTCGGCCACAACACAAGTGGCCTTCATCAGGTGAAGGGACCGTACTGTCAGCTGGATGCGGTCCCTTCACCTGATGAAGGCCACTTGTGTTGTGGCCGAAACGTCGTGATTTTTGTTATTTTATTTTTTACCTACATGACTTTACCGAATAGAACCAAAGAGTATGGATCTTTGCAGTCACGAAAGCTTCAAATCTAAAATTAATACGACGCTCTTTCGCAGAATCGTAGTATCGCCGTGTCGCGATGACAGGGAGCTGCCTCTTCTAACCCAGCCACCGACTCATTCCCTCCTGTAACGTGCGTGCAATTACAAACATCGTCCCTGTTTGTGATCGACTCAACTCCCTTTGGCATGACCGTGTACAGCCCTTTGGTCAGTCTAGAATCAGAATTTATATTTAGACTGGAGGAATCCCGTGAGCTATGAAGCTCTTTTTCACAGATGTCCAGTCCACAGCTGGATGAGGGCCCTCTGGTATTACTTGGTCATACTTCTTCACCACAATGGTGGAGTCAGGGAGCATTGACATGGAACATAGAAGTAGAGTTTAATGATGTATTTTGTTTGATCGACCCTCTGATGTCAGCTTTCAAAACTGACAATGTGTAACCTCGAACATGTTATGCACATGGGTCCCTATCCTAGCACTCTCCAGGCTTCAACCCTGTTTATCTTCCAGGGTATGACGAGATCCCGTGGATTCTGGGTGATTTGGTTATTGGCCTCTTGTTTTGCATCACGTATACATCAATAGTCATCACCGTTGTGCGTCATGGATAAAATAATTGTCAACGGAATTCATAAATAGTTATTTTACTAAGTGGGTGAGAAGAGGCCAGCTTTTAGGCTAGTCATATTTCATGTGCTGCAGAGGGCCAATGTCTATAGATTATATTCTTGGTTCTTTCGGTAAAGTCACGTAGAAGGGAAACAATAAAATAATAAAAATATAAAACATTTTTAATTGTTTCCCTTCTACGTGACTTTACCGAAAGAACCAAGAATATGAATCCCTGCAGTCACGAAAGCTTTAAATCACAGTCTATAGATTACTTTGTGCAGTGGACAAACAGATGGCATTGTCCGTATGCAACAAATTAACCCAGTCAATGTCATTTTTTTAAGTTAAAGCGCGGCCCTGCAATGCCTTGCTGGTGCCGCAATGCCAATGGTATAATAATTAATTATTATTTGCAGCCCTTTGTCAATCCACTGCTGGGATGAGGTCCTTCCCATGCCGAATAGCGAATAGTTCATGGGGGTTGTTTGACTATATCTCACCATGCCGGTCAGTGCGAGTTTGGAGGGGCGGCAAGTCCCGGGACCATTTCCGAAATTACTCCCCCCACCTCCCCCCTGACACTGATGTTAGCCGTTAGCTGTGGTAGGGTATCGAACTCAAGTCACTGGGTTCTTAATGCAGTGCACAAAACACGATGTCACGCATCACCCACTGTCAATGTAATGTAACCAGACTTCAAATAAAGTTTGTTATACTTTAGTAGGGCATGTACCAACGTCACGGCTAACTAACCCCATCATATGATTGCCATCCCAATAATGGGGATGTCTAGTAAGCTTTTTTGATTTAATTTGTGTTATTGACCACAGTCTTCTTTGCCAAGTCTTAATTCTCATTCTGAATATCAAGTTGGTGTTATGGGGCTTATGCATTCGGCAAAGATCTGGTGGCACTTGATTGCAAAGGTTAGCCACAATGCAGATACAGTATACCAAGTTTCTGTACACCCAGTTATGCTCTAGTGACATAATATTTAACCATAATCCATGCAAATGGAATCGCCATCTAAAGCATGGAAAATGCCACAATCCCTGATGAATCCCAAGCCGAAAGTCACAAATAATGAAATTCAAAGCTCAACAATTGTAGCCGATGTGTGTTATTCCTGCTTGTGACAACTAATGCGGTAATAACAATAACAACGTAGTCTATCCAGAAAAGCTTCAGTGGGTCTCAAGACACATTTTTTGGAAGGGCGCTGGATCGGGATGTGAGGCCAAATCTACGAATGATTGAGAACCCATTGAGACCGTTAGTCTCTTTTCGAAGTGACACCTGGATTAAATAAGTAGAAACATAGCAATTATAAATTATATAAATTAATAAAAGCGTGGCAAATTCAAAATAATATTGTTAATTATCAATGAAGGCTTCACTCAATCTCAAGACATTTTTATTTAGGAGTGTCCTGTACTGGAATGTTTAGGCAATTCCATGCATCAGTGTTTTGAATGTGGGAGAATATCTGAGCACTTGGGAGATAGCCCACCACACATTCAATAACTTATCACTCAAAGCTCATCACAGATTGATTCCATAATCCACTTGCTGTACTGCCATTTGCTGTACTTCCATATCCTGGCCACCTCTGGGTTCAGGAGTTCAGCAACCCTTGCCTCCAAAGTTCCGTATCTCAGGCGTGCACCACAGCTCACGGCCGTAGCGTCCTTTAATGAGCCTTGAGCCCACCGATTGACGTTACCTAATTGGAATCTACATTGTAATCATTGGCCCAACTGCGAAAAATTGGCAGGACCCTCTAGAAAAAGAGTCAGGAGACTCTGTGAGGCTTTCTTGGGTAAACAAGCGGAATGATGATGATAACTCTAATAACGCTTTTGCCCTGCTGTGGTCACACCCCTAGGTGGAGAGGCAGCCAGCGGTGGCGCGTCGCATCCACAAGATCAGCCCACCCACGTCGTCGCTGAGCAGACACCCAGACTGAGAGGTCGGCTCCAGCATGGCAGCCTCTCTCGTTCCTTCTCCATGGAGGTGATGGTCCAGTCGTACTCGCGCGCATGCACACACATACACACGCGGGCACATGCATCCAACCGTGGTGCCTTCAGATTAATGAGCTCAAATAATACTATTGGGCTGCTTCTAGGCTCTTCTGGGCCTCGGATAACCTGGTACTCCAGTGGCCGTAGAAACCAGTTGTCTGTATGATTACGAGTTGATAAGCTGCGTTGAGTTGACAAAGGCACCTCGCCAGGTGGACACGGCAAGTGAGGTGGACGACTTGGACACGGACCACGTCTCGCCCATCAGTAGCTTGGCTGCGCGGGGGAAGAGCAAACTGCAGGTGTTCATAGCGCGGTACAGGTGAGGGAGTGAGTGCGGCGCTGTCCCTGTTCCCATGCAGATGAACACTAAGATTTCGTGGTGTGCCGCACACACTTGTGGTTAAACGATATCGCCAAACATCTATTGTATCCAGCAAGGATTCACAGTGCTACAACCACATCCACCACAGCAGATGTGAATTTTTTGCTGAGACTAAGGAAGGTACAGGTCTTCTGTGATTCAGCATTTTTGGAGGCAAGGGTTGGTAGATCATGTAGATTTGTGGAACTCTCGAACACCTTGCGATGACATACTTGTTGCTTCGCCTTTCCTCCTTGGGCTTACCCAAATAAATGTACTCCGAGTTTCCGTTGTTTCACCAAGGTGAGAAATCAAGAGACCAGGATGAGTCTCATTTGAAACAGTGACCTTGGGGCATTAGTCTGCTTATAATCCGAGTTGAGTAATTTGCAGTTAACATTCGAATTTGGACATTTTGGAGCCTGACACCGGCACATAATCGCCAACTCTTGTCAATGACGTCAGGAAATCGTTGACGTCCACTGTGAAGCAGACGGCGTGCGGTATTATGGTTATAATACACCCACGGTAATAATCAGGACAGCAGTGGATTCAAACCCTGAGCCTCTGCAACAAGTGGCGAATGCACTACCGCTAGGCTGCGTCATCGCACGAGCATCTTAACAAATCCCACAGTGCTTTGCTGTGAAGCCATTCTCACAGAGCACACCCTTCACCCGTGGCTTAAATTCCACGGGAAAGTGACCATTGCTATCAAGTGTTTTGAGTGTACAGGCTGTCCATGAAGGTGCCGTCTATTATTAATCTCCCTTCTTTCGTATGGATATGAATTGAGTAGCAACTATACATCAATGTCTAGGTTGTAAATCCTGCTGATGGCTTCAGAGGACATCGAGTTGTTGGTTAAAGGAATGGATAACTTGGAATGAATTACGATTCGATAGCAGTTTGAGCACTGTGTTTGAATAGTGGGGGTTATATGAAAGGTGATGTGTGTTTGCCAAAATATTCAAAAGCCCAAGTGATCTTCACACGGCAGAAACATTAAAAAGCATTGTGCCCGCATTGCTGCCAAACACCCGGGGCTCTCCCAAATCTCTGTGACCTGTGTCGCCAACGCTACGGCAGACACGTGGAGCTTGACAGTGATGAGACTCGTACGGCAAAGTCATCCTAGCGAGTGTGTGTGTGTGTGCGCGCACGCGCGCATGTGTGCAGTTTTATTGACCCAGTTGAAACTGATGTCAACATAATAATTTGCAGCTCTTTGTCAATCCACTGTTGGATGAAGGCTTCCCCACACCACGTCAGTCACAGAGGTTGTTTGACCATATTTCACCACCCTGGGCAGTGTGGTTTGGTGAAGAGGGTGCCCATGACCGGTTCAGTTATAACCCGCCACTGATGTTAGCCGTGGCCGGGAATCTAACTTAGGCCACCGGATTTAGAGCACAATGCACGAGCCACTCTTCCACCGCTCTACTCTACGTGATATACGGTGCGCGTATACACAGGGATGTACCTATCAAAGTACCAAAGCAATGCAAGATTGAATACCAAAGTGAAAGTGAAATGTTCTTATCGTGTTGTAAAACGCGAGCCCATTACTATTAACGTTAGGAGAGAGAAAAGCTATTCGCACAGCTACCGCCCCAGTGTCTGCGAATGTAGCTGATGAAAAACAGTGCCTCCAAAAACTAAAGCAAATAAAATAAAATGGCACAATAATGTCAAAGAGTTAAAGCCAGCTCCGCTCATCAATCAGCCTTGCTTTTTAATTAGTTTTTTTTCTCCCCTTAGAGAACATTTCTGGAACATTATTCGGCTGCAAATTACACCGAGAGTCAGAATAAGGGACACATCAATCAGAGAACAAACACAAATCACATCGCTGTTAAGAAGAGTAAGTGGGCTTGGGCAGAACACATCACAAGAAGGGAATGGTGGCCGATGGGACGAGACTGGTGATGGAGATGCAGCCAAAAGATGGGACATAGATATTGAATAATTGACGATATCTTTATGGATACCTTGTGAGAGTGTACCTATGACCAAATCGCCCAAAACTTACCTGGTCTCGTCAGTTCTAGAGATTAATAAGGACCTATTCTTGAGCTGGACAATCTTGTAGCACGTGAGTTCCTTCCTCCTTTTAGTCCTTTTTATATCTGAGGTCTTTGTCCAGGTCACGTGGATTGTGCCCAGTCACGTCAGATTTTGCAAGCTATGTGGGCTTAATCCTGAATTGTACTTGGATGGGTGACCACCTTGCACAAACAGGTTGTTATAGGCTGTGGCGCTACATTGTGGGCAGCAGAGGGCAGTACAGTAAAACACATTACAGTATTGTGCAGTACTTCTGTGCTCCCTGCCTTCACTAACCCTCATTGATAGTAAGCCACGACCAGTGCCGGATTAAGCTAGTGCGGGGCCTGTAGCATGATGTTATAAAGGGGCCCTAAATAAAAAAAAAACACATGTTTTACTTGCATAGTAAAGTAATTGTATTATTTCATTTGCAATACAGCCAGATAATACGATAAATCACTAACCTTAAACACCCAGTCGTTCATAAAAGTTAAAGGCAGTATAGTACTATAGTAATATAGCAAGTGCAGAATCACTGAACCGGAATTGATAGCTTGAAAGCATTTAGTGCAGGGTCCCTTGAAAGTGCGGGGCCCGTAGCATGTGTAGCTACTTTTGCTACTAGGATAATTTGGCACTGGCGACGGCACAGACGGCGTGGTGAGGTCCTCGTCTGGCAGTGGATTGACAAACGGTACAGTTCATGTACATACTGTACATATGTGTGTGCGCCCGCGTGTGTGTATAACGATGTGGGGAGCGGTAATGTAGCGGTTAGCGCTACGCTGCGAACCCGGCAACCCGAGTTCGATTCCCGCCCACGGCCAACACCAGTGATTATTATCTGAACCAGTCCTGGGCTTCCCTGACTTTAACTCAGCCTCAAATCATCACCACTCGGGAGAATAAGGCGGGCGGGCGTGGTTCTGGCCACCCAGTCCCTCGTGTGCCGTGCCAACACTTGTCCCAGCAGTCTGTTAAGGCTACACGGGGAATCTTTGTCTATGTGAAAGGCGAACTAACACTGAGAGACGTTGTTCCACAGCTATAACCCCTTCGAGGGCCCCAATGAGAACCCGGAGGCTGAGCTGCCGCTGGCGGCCGGAGAATATGTATACGTGTACGGCGACATGGACGAGGACGGCTTCTACGAGGGTGACTGCACACTCACCCCAACTGCCTGGCGCCACATTGTTTAACAACAATAGCAGCCGCTGGCATTTTCAGTACACCCATAATGTAACAAACGTCTCGGGGCGCAGACGTTCACAGGAAGAGCAGCAGTGGGTTGGAGTGAACAAGAAAAGGGAAGAAAAAAAGGAAGAAAATTAGGAGGTCCGAAGGCACCAGAGAGAGAGAGAGAGAGGAGGAGGGAGATACCTGGGGAGGGAGTTCCAGAGGGGGAGGGGGGGCATAATGGCTCAAAGAGTGGCCACCAATGGTAGAGCGGCAGATCATGGGAGCAAGGAGGAGACCAGAGTCTGTTGAGCAGAGGGACTGGCTGTGACATGGGGGTGGAGAAGGTTGCAGAGGTATGGGGCAGGAGGAGTAAGGCCGTGGATGGAGATGAATTTCAGGACAAGGATTTTGTCGTCCACACATTTGTGGATGGAAAACCAGTGAGGTGAAGCCAGGGGAGTGTACAACTGTACATACAATAACTCAGGGTGGTGACATGACACAAACTACCAAACATTTTTTTGTTACACTTAACAGAATCAGTAACGGTCAGCTTTTTGTCAAAAATGCATTCTGCTCCAGCTCTCACCCCCGATAGGCTGCGATGCCCATTGCTTACTTGTGCTGATTTTTGTACCAACATTTTTTTTTACTGGGGGGCGGTTATCCTGGGGGGGCGGTAGGGGGCGGTTATCCTTCACCGGGGGTGTGGGGCTGGGCCCCTCTGTCCTAGTGGCCCATTACCACTCTCCTGAGTTCCAAGTCTGACCGGTGCTGTCGCGAGGAAAGGACAGTCTAACCATTGCGCGTCGTAGTCTCCACATTGCTTTCCACTTGTGTTGTAGATCTCTGGGTGGTCTTTGCTTAAAATGTGGAAAGAGCCCCGATCGAGGCTAAACGGTCAAAATAAGCACATTGTACAGCAACATTATTATCAAAATACTTGCAAAGTAAAATGTAAGCAGGTGAAGAAAAATGACTCTGGGTCAATATGAGTAAATACATAAATCACCACACTAATGGCATATTAAATTTGAACAAATCACATGAAATTAAGGCAAATGGGCAAGAATCCAATGCTAATTTGATAAAGACAATATAAGTAGAATTTGGAGTTAATTAGAATAACATGTAAAATTTAATACATTTTCAATAACGTAAATTGAAATTTGCTTACCAAAGTAATTTAATTACATTCCCTCATTCATTTACTGGCAGGAAACCGTATTGTGCCTGCGATTAGCTTTCATTAGAGTCTGAACGATAGAGCATCATCATGAGGCTTTCTCCTGTTCTGTTATAATCACCCAATTGACGTTCATTATTGGGAGGCTCAAACTCAGGCTGCGACTGCGTTTGTGCAGGAGAGCTGATGGACGGCAGGAGAGGCCTCGTCCCCTCAAACTTCATCGAGCGCATCTCCGACGAGGACTTGGTGGCGTTCCATCAGATGGAGGGCGAGCATTCATTGTCGCAGCAGCAGCAGCAGCAGCAACACCTCCACCACGTCCACCACCATCACCACTCGTGCCCCGACCGCGACCGAACCCGTCCCACCTCGGCCTGCAGCGTCTGCTGGGAAGGACAGGGCTGTCCCGGCCAGTGCCCCAACCCCTGCCAGAACAAGTGCCGGGCCGAGGTGCCGGCGCCACCGTGCGGCGCTGACGGCGGTGGTTGTAAGGGCGGCCGCTCGAGCGAGACTCCACACCGCTGCTGTGGCGCGCCGTACGGCTGCGACATCGGCCAATCACTGCCGCGGCTCGGTACTCCCAACTGCACGGAGGACATCGACGCGGAAGAGGCGCCGCCACTGCAGGACGACCCGCGCGTTCGTCACCCGCGCGGCATCGCCCTCATCAAGCAGCTGGCCAAGAGCGTGATCATCAGCTGGGAGCCGCCGCCGCTGCTACCGCCGCCGGCTCGCACGTCCGCATCGTCGTCGCCGTCCCTCTCCACTTCCTCGTCCTCCTCCGCCTCCTTCTCTGCCGCGGCACCCACGAGCTACAACGTGCTGGTGGACGACGAGCTGCGGATGAACGTACGCGCCAGCGCCAAGCCCAAGGCACTGGTGGAGAAGCTGGAGCTTTCGGCGAGCTCGTATCGCGTGTCCGTGCAGTGCGTGACGGCCCGGGGCCTCTCGGACCCGGCGCTGTGCAGCCTCCTGGTGGGCGCGGGCGCCACGCCGGCCCCGCGCCAGCTGGCGGTCCGCGACGTGACGCCCTCATCGGCCGTGCTCGCGTGGCTGCCCAGCAGCAGCAGCCACGCGCACGCGGTGCGCGCTAACGGGGAGCAGCGCGGCGAGGTGGCGGCGGGCGTGCGCGCGTTCACGCTGCTCGGCCTGGAACCCGACCGGCACTACCGCATCGTGGTGGAGGCGCGGCCGCAGCGGTCGCACTGGGAGCCGAGCCCCGAGGAGAGGCGGCGCAGGGAGGCGAGCATCGCGTTCAGGACGCCACCCGCAGGTGCACCCCATCGTCCGTGTCGCTGCTGGGCTGGAGTAGGTGGTTGGTGACTGGAGGGGGGTCGTGGCGATTTATTTTGTGCCGTATGTAGCCAACCGTGCTAATCGGAGGTGCGTTACTTGAAAATCAGAGGATGCTGTTGAGAAGACGAGTGTGTTTTGACGTACCTGAGTCAATCCTGATGCTCATCAGGGCTCGTGTGAGTGTGCATTTTGAATACCATATGCATATTTTTTTCTTGCATCCGCTTATTTTCGCAATTGGCTTAGAGGAAAGTTTGGTAGGTGTGTAATCGTTCACCATTGTGCGATCCTTGTTAAGGTTTTTTGCCCGTGTGTGAATTCCTGCATCCCGTTATTTTACAATTTGGAGTTCGTATCCACATAGCCTCTACATGGGACCACGTCTTAAGATGCTTTAAATAAAGAGTGTTTATTTATATTACCTTTTATGGAGTTAGTCGGACAGAGACAAAGTGAAAAAAGGAAAGTCTTGGGCCTTGTTTTGAAAATGGGCAGGGAGGCGACAGCACAGATGGCTGGGGGCAGAAGGAAATTCCAAACGATGTAGGCCCTGCCTGCCTGCCTGCCTTTATATCTATTGCCCATCTATCGATCTGCCTATCTGCTCATGTGCTGTATTCTCCATTAAGAAGAAATGTCACTCCAACTGAAGATTAATTTTTGAGATATGCTCTGTCTCTTTATTTATCTGCTGTGAGGAGGTTGACTTTATTTAATCTCATGGTTTTATTACCGAGAATCAGTGGCTGGCACAGCTGTCAATGGAGCAACCAGTGAGGGCGGTCTAAGGAGTGGGGGTCATGCCGTACAACAACGAAGCGTGCTTGACTGTGAACTCTATATTAATAAAGTGGCTGCCTACATTTCATTATGTGTCAACTCCACACCCCCTCTCAAGAAATTTATATTTAATTGGAGTGACGTTTCTCCTTTTATTATGTTTTTTCTTCATCCTCATTAATACTTTGTGCATTGTTGGTAAAGAAGTTATGCATATGTATTCGTGTATTATTTGCCCAGATTATAGACAGGACAATATAAGCTGTAAGCTTTTTGAAATTCAACATATATAAATAAGAATGTGGAAATTTCTGTAGGGACCTGTAATGAAAGTGCTCATTGCATAATTTCACGTGTACATCTCGGACACTTTAAAGACGTGGGTAATCGTTGGTATAAAATCATACAGAGGGCATAGTGTGCCATCTAAAAGGGACTACAATTCTAATTGAAATGATCTGTCCACCTTTTCCTGAGAAGTTAGACAAAAGCTCGTGAAATTACCACATGTCAGACGTACTCTGACACACTGGCATGGTGAAGGTGCATTTAGATTCGTGTGTGTGTCGTGACATTGACATATTCTATGAGCCATATTTTCAAAAGGTAACCGTTCCGCAATAGTTCAAACCGGTCATTTGCTTTGACTCGTGAAATGGTGCTGATAGCACAATATTAATACAATTTTTTTGGGGGGGGGAATAAAATATACTTATATGTCATTTTAAAGCAAAATACTAACGTAAACTATTTTTATTTTACCAGGTAAGATCCACTGAACTATATAGCCTTTTTTTCAGAAGCGACCTGGCTATCTCAAACGATAGCTCAACGAAGTGGCTTTTCACTTGAACATTTATAGCAGCCAAATACTCCCAAACGCACGTTGATTCTAAACGTGTAGGGAAAAACCGGAGGACCCGGAGAAAAATTCTACGCGACCACGTGGAGAACATGCAAACTCAAAATATACAGCAGGCGTCATGGTCGAAATGGCACCTACGACCTCCTGCATACCAGGCGAGGTAGTTATCATCTCGCCACCTCTACTGTTCCCCCTCGCCCAGGTTTGCCAGACGCGCCACTTCACGTGCAGGTGGAGGCCGGACAGAGCACGGGGACGCTGCTTGTCTCGTGGCTCCCCGTCACCATCGACGCCATGGGCTCCTCCAACGGCTCCTGCATCACCGGTTACGCCATCTTTGCCGATGGAGCCAAGGTGAGGGCCTGGCCTTGCCACGCGTCGCACACACACCCGACAGAAGCCGATAAGTATGCTCTGCAAAATGCCTTTGCTTCGAAAGGTCATGCGTCGGCAGTGCGGTGAAACTCTCCGCATTGGGTGCATAACGGCATGTTGATTCATCAATTGATATCAATTGTTAAGACCTTGGATAGTCAGGTGACTCTCGGTCCCTGGTGAGACGTTTTGATTCGTGTGCTTTGGATTTAATGAGTTCACGTGACCCTTCCAGCCACGAGAGGTCAGTGCTTTCACAATGATGGCAAAGAGTTATCGATTAAATTCGAACGCGACGTTAAATTGGAACAATTTGTTTCATCGCCAAAGGGGTGATTTGTCACTCTCCAACCAGTGCTGGGAATTGGTGAATATTTCACATTCCTATGGTGGGGTAAGTGATAAGCCACATTGTTGAGCTATCATTTGTGGCCAGGTCTCTTCTGAAAATGAAGCTAATAGCTCAGTGGGTTTTACCTGGTAAAATAAACATGTATTTTTTTTGCGTGATTTGCTTACCTTTTCTATATTTTGCACTACGATTGTGTTTTCGCATTGTTGTTGTAACTTTCTGTCCCACCCCATACTGGACATCAGTGAAAAAGAGGTTCGCAGCCCATCATATTCCTCCGCTACGAATAAAGATTCTCAGTGAATAATGAATCCCTTGCCTTGTTCGCATGGCGCAGGTGCTGGAGGTGGCGTGCCCGACGGCGGGCAGCGCCGTGCTCGACTCGTCGCTCTGCGAGGGCAGCTCCGCGCTCACGGTGCGCACGCTGTCTCCGTGCGGCAGCTCCCCGCACTCGCTCGCCGCCCGCCTCCTCCTCCTCCCGCCGCCGGACCGGACGAGGAGCCCCGAGGGACCCTCGCCGCCGCCGTCGCCCGTCGCCGGCGCGGATGGCAGCGGCACGCCCACGAGACGGGCGCGCTCGGTCAGCAAGCTCAAGATGTGCAACCACGCGGCCGGGTGGGGCAGCCCATCCCGCGCGGAGCCGATGGCCGGTCAGTGCTGGTGACAAGCTGCGACATTGGTCGAACGTGGCTTCTTAAGTCCTTTACGTAGGAATATTGTTGCCGGGTGGCACACAGGTCAGAGCGCTGAGCTGGCACCCCCTGAGATCCTGGGTTTAAATCCAGGATCCTCAGGGTGGTGAGTAGATGGTCTCAGCCCAGTCACTAATGACTGCACACACACACACACACAAAAAACCTAATCAGATTCAATTTGGTTCGGCACTTCAATTGTTTACATTCCAGCGCGGAGAGTTAAACATTTTGTGGTTTGGCCGTCGGGTAACGAACATTATTCTCAGTTGCAGAGTGGGTGAGAAAGTAGCGCCCACTACTGTGTGGATCAGAAGTCACTTAATGGGCTGTTCTGTAACACAAAGAGTTTCATTGCTCGCATGACATGACGCCGAGAGCTCGTAACATGTGAGGTGGGCGGGAGCGGGGGGGGGGTTCAATTTTTGTTACAAAAAATACCAGCAATTAAAAATGTTGCCTCTTATTGCGAACAGCAGTAGGGGAGGCGTGGTACGACCCAGCCACTGGCTCCTCGGGCCAGACCTCGACGGACGAGGCTCGCTTGAGAGCCACGGAAATCCCCTGCGACACAGGGTCGATGGGAGACGTCCCAGACACTCTCGCCACGGTGCAGCTGTGTGCTGCCGGATCGCCCGACGCCATCCCCTCGCCCATAGTGCCAGCCGTCCGGCCCGCGGAGCCGCCCCGGCTGCTCGACTCGGAGGTAAGCGACGAGCCCTGCTTGGCTGCCCTAAGCCCAGGCCCGGACAATCTGTCGCCTCCGTATCACTCTTCTATCGCTACTACCACCATGGTTGCTGTTGCCATGAATGAAACTCATTATTTCCTCCACCCATGTCGAGGACTTAGTCCACCAGATTGTTTCGTCTCATCCATACTCATCGTACTCATCCATGCGGTGTTAAACCACTGTACTGCAGGTCAAATCACTTACCTTTCTGATTGTTTTCCAGCACTGCTTGATTTTGTAATTTCCTCCCATCGTCCCTCTTTTGCCAAGTTCTTAAATTAACATTGCTTAATTGAATAAACACATAAACTCTCTTCTCGCACATCTTCAACGGTGTTGTTTCTTGCTGGTCGCTAGGCATTTTTGGCCTTTGGACCTGTGCTCGGTCACTGCAGTGTACAGTTTTGTACATTTGCCAAGCGTGATGCACACCACTGTGCATGTCTTGGAAGTTCCGCCGTCACTGCCGGGGTTTGTCTCCGGCACAGGTGGTGGGGTTCGTGCCACCGGCAGACGGAGAGAGCGATTGTGCCGAGGCGTCACAGGCCAAGTCGGAGGAGGAGCATGGCTCCACGCAGCCCTTGTGCAGCTCCATGGAGGAGTTCCTTCGGGAGATGGAGCAGGACCGACTGGTCAGACCTAGCATCTCCACTTATTGCTTCAGGATAAATCAAGATTCTGATTCTGATTCACTCACTCACTAACACATTTACCCACCTGTCCACTCACTCACCTACCCACCTATCCACTCACTTACCTACCATCCCACCCACTCACCTGTTAACCCATCAACGCACTCACTTATCCACTCATTCACCCACAAGCCCAACTACCCGCTAGCTCACTTGTCCATTCGCTTACCCGTTAACTCACTCACCTGTTTACTCACTCATTCACCTGTTAACTCACTCACCCATGTATTCTCACTCATCTACCAAGCAATTCATTCACCCACCCACTCATCCTATCACTCAGCCACTCAATCACGTGGTCACTTACCCACCCATTCACCCACCCATCTCCCCACACTCAACCCCCATGTAGGTACCGCCGCCTCGGTTGGAGGGCTACCAAACAGAGAGCAGCCGTGGCTCGGAGCTCTCCGACATTTTGGAGGAGGACGAGGAGGACCTGATGTCCGAGTCGGTGAAGCGCAGCGAGGCTCAGCGCCGACGTCTCAACCACCCACTCAGGGTGAGGAGCAACCACACTCACTGTCACCATCACCACGGCTCACGGCACCACCCCGACTCACGGGACTACCCCGACTCACGGCACCGCTTGTTGGATGAGGCAGCCAATCGGTGTGGAAAGCGGGCAATTAGACTCAAACTGTAGCTTGAAGTAAACTTAGCACATTCGTTAATCACACTGGCCTATACCAGAATTATACGTTAATAAATCAAATACATTTAAGTGTATAATACCAGCTGACCTTTCGGCAAAAAATATGCCTAATTAAAAGTGAGTGACAATGGAAATATCGGAAAGGTTTTGTGAAAGAGTATACGTCGATAAAACGGTTGAGAGACGTATTGAAACCTGAGAAAAGATTGAACATAAAAACATCCAGATCCAGGAAATGCGGTGGACTAAGTAAAAAAACAACTACTTGAATAAACAAATGCAATAGGCGCGCAGCAGCAGTGTAGTGTACTCGACGGTGCCCACTGCCGTGCGTGTGGCTTTACGGTGAGCGCCGGGGTGAGGGCGGAGCCGAGCCCAGGGCCGGAGAGCGGCCTCGGAGCAGCTGGCCGCCCTGAGGCCGATAGCGACCAGCCTCGCCATGCTGCAGCTCACGTAGCCTTACTCATGTTAATATGCTCATGCGTTATGCCGCGTCGTGTGATGAGAAACTAACCGACGTCTTATTAACTTATTTTGCGCTCATCCTTCCGTTGCGTTGTCACCCCGGTTGTTGGTGCTCTTGTTCCCTGTCCGCAGCGTTGTCTTCGGGGTGCCTCTCTCTCTCTCTGTTCCCTGTCCCCTCTCCGCCTCTACAGTCTGAGTTTTCTGCCGTTCGTTCGACCACGGTGCACCGCACGGAGCATTGTGCACGCCTCTGTGTTTTTTTCGCGTTCTCCTAGCTGTGCGCGCACGCCGTTGTTTGCCGTTTTGTGTCTTTCTGTTTGTGTGTGCGGCACTACAAGGTCAATTCGGATCCTGTTTGCAGTAAACATCTTTCCCCCCCCCACCCCCCCCACATCACTGGCTCTTTCCGGCCTGCCCGTCGAATAATTCGCTTTTTGAGCGTTGAGAGTGGTGTGGTCGCCGTCTGCGAGCGGCACCGTCGCCCGCGTGCGCGAGCATTCCGATCGAGGCACTTTGCGCACGTGGTGAGTAACGAGCGGAGGCTCAACCTTCCGCTTCCTTCTCACTCGAGGTGTGGGGGAGCTCGCCGCTCACCGAGGGGTGGGACGATTTCTTTTCAGCCAGCAATTTGATGAATTGACACTTTTATAAGGCTTGTAATTCGGCTCGAGAAATCGATGATCTTTTAACACGATTGTTGACGGTAGCGCCTCTAGTGGCGGCACGGGCGACATGTATCCATGGCGCACGCACGTAGAAGAACGTCAATTCTTGCCCGCGAAATTCGACGCGCACATTGTGAGTGCAGTCACCAATCGCAAATGAACAAGTCGGGTGTATTGTTCCACCCGTACGCACGGTGCACCCTGCCCGCTGTGAGTCTTTCGCGTGTGTTGGGGCGCTTGTTGTGGGGTTTGCGATCACTGCGGAGGGGGGGGGGGGGGGGGGGGGGGGGGCGCGCCGCTTATGCTGTCGATGTGCGCGCCGTGGCGTGGGCGCGAGGAGGTGGGAGAGGGCTGCGACACCGACAGTGACGAGGAGAGCCTGGAGGCCGTGCTGGAACTGCCACTGCAGAAGCACTGCAGCAAAAAGCTTTTCAGCATCCCGGAGCTCACGGAGGAGGAGGAGGAGGATGACGATGATGACGAGGAGGAGGATGACGATGAGAAGGAGGAGGACGAGGAATCTGAGAGGGGCCTGAGGGATGCATTTGAGGAATTAGCTGCTCCTCACATCCCCCTTACTCCTGGTCGGAAACTCTGGCAGAAATACGACCGTCCCGGGAGAGTCAAATGTGGGAGTCCTGGGTGTTCAGGCCAAGTCCCCAGAGAAAGCCCCAAGCATTCCAGCAGAGTCAGAAAAGCGAGCCCTGAGCTGCTTGGCATAGTCGCCCGGGAAAGCCCAAAGAATTCCTTCAGCGTCGCCCACGAGAGCCGGGAGGTGTGGCCAGGGCTGGAGAAGATGGGCTGCACGGTGCAGAGAGACAGGTTCCTAAGACGCAGCCGCTTTGCACAGAAGCAGGCCGAGGCCGCGGTGGCGGAACGGGGCCACGCGGACGCCTGCACGAAGGACGTTCCCCTCGACAACGTTCCAGCGCTTCACTGCCAAGGCCGAGAAGGGGCAGCGGCGACGTGGGTCGACCTGTGCCGCACTCCGAGCGACGGGGGCAAGCGGGCACGCGAGCACAATCAGCGCAGCCCCAAGGCCAGGCCTCGAGCGGCGGAATGCCGCCACCCCACCAACGAGGGGACATCTGACGGGGAGAAGGAGCGGCCCGTGGGCCGCCGGCACGTCGAGGAGGCGCACGGGAGGCCGGTGGCCGCGGCCGCCGCCTGGCGCAGTAGAAAGCGAGGGCTCACTCGGCAGAGCACGGTGGAAGAGGACTTCTCGGACACGGAGCGCGGATCCGAGATGGCCGGAGGGGACAGCGGCAGTGGCGGTGGTGGCCATGGCGGCGGCAGCAGCAGCACGGGAGATGCGAGTGCAACCGCGCTACCGGCGAGCCGGGCGGACCCTCGAGAGCGGGAGCGCAGTAGTGCCGCAAGGACTCGAGCCGTCGTTGCCTTTCGGCAGGAGCAGGTGTAAATATAATGGCAGACGGGGTTAATGTTGCGGGGCGGGTGAGGTGGGGAGGGAGGAACACTGCTGTCCGATCTGCCTGGTCCATGCCCCCATGCCCTGTCCCATCACCCCTTCTGACATACCCAAATGTGAGAGCCGTTGGCCTGCGTTAAGTCGTAATGAGTGTCAATAGTGATTGTCGATGCTACCTCTAGAATATACGGAATGGTTTTTTTCGACAATGACAAAGAGGACAAATGATTGGGGTGGGGAGCAGGCTGGGCAGCTGTGTTATCTGTGCAAGTAGCCCCCTCATTTCTGGTAGATGAGAGTTAAGTCTCCGTGTCTCGGTGAGAGGACGGACTGGGAGGTTATCAGCTGCCCTCGATGGGGCCCGTAAACTTCACTCGTCGAAGCCTTTTCCAATTTTGCTACTTTTTTTTTTGCTCAACTTGTGACATGGATCTCAAGGAAAAGAACCCCACAAACAGATGAAAAATATCAGTGTTCTTTTCCTGTTGGCTATTTTGACCTCAGAGATTACACAAAGAGAAACAAATTGGAGAGAACGAAATTGACGGCGTGCAAAACGCGAGTGTTAGATTTTGTATGCAGCTTTGTCGGTGAAGTTTACACGAGTCAACTGACTGGGGAGACTTTACCTCCTGGCCCATCCAGCACCACTTGCCTGTTAAGTTCTCAAGGTGACCTCGGTACAATGTTTTGCTTTTACACTTACCAATATAAATGCCAACTTTGCTTTGGACAAATACTTAAGAATAATAACAATGGGTTTTAACATACAAAGCCGTAACTTCGAAAGGCGGTAAGGACTTAACAGGTAAAACCTTTCCCTTGTCGTAGCTGACCTCCTGCCATTACCACCACCACCGCCGGCACCCGCCCGGTCACGGCTCGTGTTTTCTAAATAATCGCCGGCGACGACGCTACGAAAACACGGCTCCCATTCTACGCCCTGTAACCCACGTGCTGTGTCAGCGTCTGTCTTGTGTCCCACGTGCCGTGTCTGTGTCCCACGTGCCGAGTCTGTGTCCCACGTGCCGTGTATGTGTCATGCCATGTCTTTTTTTTTTATCTCATTCGCTTTCAGTTTGCGGTCCCTGTGTCCGTCCTCATGCCCGCCGTCGTGCCCGCCCTCTGTCCATCTGCATGCGCCCCCCCCCTCCCCCCCCACCCCCCCCCCCCCCCCCCCCCCCCCCCCCCCCCCCGCAGGGACGTTCCTCTGCAATGATCCCGATTAGCGTCCTTTCTGCTGAAGGATTTGCGTTTGGCCCCTGTAATTCCGTGGCCCAGTGGCTGGCCCCGTGTCTCGTCTATTCTCTCGTAAATTTCTGGGCAAGCGGAACCTTCATTGCAGAAGAACGCCTTCCCGTCAGCCCGTGGACAATTTAGGTGTTTTGTGGACAATTGTGCAATGCCATGAAGACCGCCATTTTCATAAACATCCGTGGTAAATGTGATAGTTTGGCTCAGTAGGACCACTTTCAACTCGCGGTAGAATTTGGTCTGTGCACAAAGCAGTTTGTTCTTTTGTTCAAATCCCGAAGGGAGAATGTGCACGTGTCATTTTATTCGGTTGACTTTTTTTTCCCCGATGATTTTCCAGGCATTTGGTGAAAATAGACATCTTGACCTTGAAGTGCACAAAGCTTGCACAATTAACTTAATTTGCATATTCTACAAAGAACGATAATTATTCCATGTTTGCTTATGTGATGACAACAACTAAAAGCAATTTGTACCCTTTCCAATGTTTTACGTATTGTCTCACTTGTTCTAAAACCCACAGCAGTTATATTCGTGTAACCATTTATTTTCATAATTTGAGGTTGGAAAATCGTTTCACTCAAGACAAAGACGAATGCATTGCAAAAACAGTACGACTTAGGCAGTGATTGCTCACTTTGGGGCTTTATCTGCACGAGTTCAAAAGTTATTCCTAGTGAGCCATGCAATTGTAATACAATATTCCGTATTATCTGACAAGTATGAGCCCTTTGCCATGGTTGCAACAGGTACGTTACAATTGTACGTGCAATATGCGTATGATTTTACGTGGAAATCACCCAGAATGCACCTGATCTCATTCGATCTCTGAACATATTGAGGCTATTGACCAGATAGTGCTTGGATGGGTGACCTCCAGGGTCCTGCTGTAGACTCTGGGGCTACATGGTGGGCAGCAGAGGGCCAGTCCGGCAAAACCCCATTGTTACACTGCTCTCGTGTTCTATACTTCCCGCTTTCGCCAGTGCACACTGACCAACGTCGTGAAGTATGGCCAAATAACCCCCATGACTAACATGGCGCAGGGAGGCCCTCATCTAGCAGTGGATTTACGAAGGACCCTCAAAGAGTATATGTAGAATGAAAAAAAATCATACATTCTCAACACAGTCAATTGAACTATACCTACATCTCCCCTTGTTTCTCCTTGGTACAATAACGATATATTGATAAAGTAACAATTGAATTACAAAATCTGTAAAATCCTACGAGGAGGGCCGGATATTCATATCCTCATCATGCTGTTTAGATGAAGGACGCTGACGCCGGTACCGGCGCTGGCAGACGCGAACGGCCTTGTGTGACCATGTGCGTGCCGTGCCCCACAGCCAAAGCACGGAGACACGGCTCCCAGCGGCGATGCGCCGAGCGTCGCCCAATCGGCGCCCGGTGGAGATGCAGTCAAACCCGGCAACGCCTGTCCTCCCGATGCAGGTGAAGCCACGCGCCTTGCTCTCGTTCTCTCACGGTATTCTAGTCTAGGGCAGTGGTGCCCAACTGTTTTGTGTTGTGGCTCCTACCACCCCCCACCCCTCCAATAAGACCACTGGTCGCCCATCCCCCCCACCCTTCACCCTCCAGCCCCCTGCTCCCCTAATTTATAGGTCACATATCCGTGCCTCTTGCTAATTCGGTGTTAGGCATGCATTTTGTTTCATGTTGTGTGTCGATGCAATGCGACGCTGATGTTCCCCGAAAGGCCATGGGTTGCTAACGGCTGCTCTAGTAGGGGTGTAACGAACCTTCTTTTCGTCGATTAAACCGAATCATGAAAGCTCGTGATACAAGCACCAAACTGCTCTTGCAAGAATCATAAATTGCGATTCTATGTAAATGTTGCCTCTAGGTTAATGGATGGAAGAAAACTGTCTAAAATGAGACGGTAAATAACATAAAAGAAGACAAACTTGGTGGTAAACAGATGCCAAAACAATTTTGATATTTGGATTTCATTGCGACCCTGAATCATGACAATTCATCGCATCGCCGGGGGGAGTGAACGCGCCTATTACCCTGCGATGGGCATATCTGTGCTGTCACGGGTAGTCTGAAAAAAAAAAAAACACCCATTGCTTCCTCCACAGATTTAGAGTGGACCGGACCTTCGACCGCATTTAGAATTTTGTGCAAAAATTGTAACGGCGTTTTCAGATGGGGAACTAAAAACGGATTGTAGTCGTGGTCCAAGCAGCCGGTGTCGCGTGGCGCGGACAGCGTTGTGACGGTGCTTCGCGTCGCCGTGCACAGGGGCCCCCTGGACAAACCCCGGCGCCGCGGAGAGAGGCCCCCGGGAGGGTGTCGTGCCCGTGAGAATCTTTGTCGCGCTCTTCGACTACGATCCCATGTCCATGTCGCCCAACCCGGATGCTGCCGACGAGGAGCTGCCCTTCCGGGAGGGTCAGGTCATCAAGGTGAGAGGGAGGGCCAGGTCATCAAGGTGAGAGGGAGGGCCAGGTCATCAATATGAGAGGGAGGGCCAGGTCATTGAGGAGAGAGGAGGGCCAGGTCATCAAGGTGAGAGGGAGGGCCAGGTCATCAAGGTGAGAGGGGGGCCAGGTCATCAAGGTGAGAGGGAGGGCCAGGTCATCAAGGTGAGAGGGAGGGCCAGGTCATCAATGTGAGAGGGAGGGCCAGGTCATCAATGTGAGAGGGAGGGCCAGGTCATCAATGTGAGAGGGAGGGCCAGGTCATCAAGGTGAGAGGGGGGCCAGGTCATCAAGGTGAGAGGGGGACCAGGTCATCAAGGTGAGAGGAGGGCCAGGTCATCAATGTGAGAGGGAGGGCCAGGTCATCAATGTGAGAGGGAGGGCCAGGTCATCAATGTGAGAGGGAGGGCCAGGTCATCAAGGTGAGAGGGGGGCCAGGTCATCAAGGTGAGAGGGGGACCAGGTCATCAAGGTGAGAGGGGGGCCAGGTCATCAAGGTGAGAGGGGGGCCAGGTCTTCGAGGTGAGAGGGGGGCCAGGTCATCAAGGTGAGAGGGGGGCCAGGTCATCAAGGTGAGAGGGGGGCCAGGTCATCAAGGTGCGAGGGGGGCCAGGTCATCAAGGTGAGAGGGGGGCCAGGTCATCAAGGTGAGAGGGGGGCCAGGTCATCAAGGTGAGAGGGGGGCCAGGTCATCAAGGTGAGAGGGAGGGCCAGGTCATCAAGGTGAGAGGGAGGGCCAGGTCATCAATGTGAGAGGGAGGGCCAGGTCATCAATGTGAGAGGGAGGGCCAGGTCATCAAGGTGAGAGGGGGGCCAGGTCATCAAGGTGAGAGGGGGGCCAGGTCATCAAGGTGAGAGGGGGCCAGATCATCAAGGTGAGAGGGGGGCCAGGTCATCAAGGTGAGAGGGGGGCCAGGTCATCAAGGTGAGAGGGGGGCCAGGTCATCAAGGTGAGAGGGGGGCCAGGTCATCAAGGCGAGAGGGGGGCCAGGTCATCAAGGCGAGAGGGGGGCCAGGTCATCAAGGCGAGAGGGGGGCCAGGTCATCAAGGTGAGAGGGGGGCCAGGTCATCAAGGTGAGAGGGGGGCCAGGTCATCAAGGTGAGAGGGGGGCCAGGTCATCAAGGTGAGAGGGGGGCCAGGTCATCAAGGTGAGAGGGGGGCCAGGTCATCGAGGTGAAAGGGAGGGCCTAGTCAAGATGACAATTACACGAGAATACACTCGAACCTCTGCAAAAATATTTTTAAGAAAAACTTTTGCTGCCCTACCATCTTCTGTCCACCTCTCCACAAGCCTACATCACTTTTGGTATTCCCAGACAGCCTCCCGTTCAAGTACTAGCCTCGTTTGGCTACCGATTATCTTCTAAACTGCGACGAGGTCGCTTTGAAGCGATTTACCATCAGCTTCTATCGACGCTCGTCTCTGCTCACTGGAATCCCGTGAGATTATTCTCCCTCCCCCTCCTCCTCCATGATGACCCAGGTGTACGGGGACAAGGACGGTGATGGCTTCTACCTGGGGGAGGCAGGCGGCCAGCGTGGCTTCGTGCCCTGCAACATGGTGTCCGAGCTGCAGGTGGAGGAGCAGGCCGTGCTGCAGGAGATCCTGAGACGCGGGTTCCTGCCGCCCGATGCGCCGCTCGACCAGATAGGTGCGCGGTGGGTGGGGTGGGGGTGGTGGGCGGTGGGACGGACGAACGGACGGACATGATTCCTGCTGTGCATCTATACCGGCCGTATCGTTTAAATGTTACAGCGTTTTTGTCAGTCCACTGCCGGATGAGGGCCTCGGCAAGCCGTTGTCGGACTTGGGGAGCTAAGTTTGACAATTCTGCACCACGCTGGTCAGTGCTGGCTGGTGAAGGTGGGGAGCGTAGATGTGATGGTCCAAGGGACGGTACGACAATGGATTTTTAGCACTTGGGTGATATGGTCATAAGGCACAGGCTGCGTTCCGAATGGATAAAAAAAATCTCGCCATGTTCGTCAATGCCGTTGCTTTCATTGCATCATCAGCTTTGATCTATCTGCTGCTGGATAGAGGCCTCCCTATGCTGTCGCCATCTTTCGTGCTCATGAGGTGAAACTCCATCTACTGCATTCACACAAGCTGATTTAATTTCTTCATCTGCATGGTCTATGTTCTCTCAAGTGTGTTCCCTCCTCTGGCTGCCACACCATTGTTAGTGATGACCACTGGCCATCATTCCTTCTAGCGATGTGCCAAAGTGCCCTGTGGTTCCAGAAGTATAATAGGACCATTAATACTTGAGCATTTACTTTTACAACTGACCTGTGTGTCATCGCATTTACACAATGCATGAACCACCTTGTCTCGCATCCACGTATGATTCGAGCTTTGGCACGTACACGCGACATTTCAAATAATCCCTCGGATGAGGTGACGTTCATTCAGTCTGCTTCTGAAATGTTGAAAGAGCCACGCTTGAAACATGGCCGTTTTCTGTGTTTCCCATCCGCTTCCCATGGGCCTTTTGCGTGATCACCGTTTCCCATTTCTATTTTTCCTGTTTTCTTTTTCAGTTGCGTTAGAGTCAGCTTGGGAGGAAAAAGATCGAGAAGGTTTGTACCTGTTTGGCGGATTGATGATTAATTAATTCATTCGCCCCCACTCGGTTGTCTGCGCTTCACTGCGTGCGACGGTGGAGTGGTGGTGTTGGTGGCGATGACGGGTGCCGTGCCTTGTTCTCTCTGCTGCCGCAGGGCTGGACGGGCGAGGCTGCTGGCAGGCGGGGGTCACCGCTCGCCGCATGATCGCCCTGTTCGACTACGACCCCCGGGAGAGCTCGCCTAACGTCGACATCGAGGTAAGATGTCGACGGTGAGGGCATCCAGGGTGGCTAGATCCCCGACCCTGACGCCTGTATATTTGGAGTTTGCGTGTCTCTCTATCTCCCTGTGGTCTTGTGGATTTTTCTCCGGCTCCTTCGCTTTTTCCCTCCACATTTATAACCATGCCTTTAGAGTATTTGGCTACTGCTATAAATATCCACATGATAAGCCATTTCGTTGAGCTATCATTTGTAGCCAGATTACTTCTGAAATTGAGCGAAATAGCTCAGTGGGCCTTGCTTGGTAAAATAGATGGGTGGCCTTTACAACCAGTTAAGAGCTCATTCGGATAGAGCATTGGTGCACTGGGTAATGCACTGCACTCTTATCCTCGTCAACCTACTGGTTCCTGGCTATGGCTAACGTCAGCGGCAAGTGATATGTGAAGAAGTTCTCGGGAACCCTACTTCACAAACCCTCATTGACCAGCGTGGTGAAGTATGGTTGAATAACTCTCATGACCGACAGGGTCTGGGGAAGCATTCATCAGGCAGTGAATTGACAAAAGGCTGTTGATGATTAATGTTATAATATTGGAGACAAAGTAGCCTATTTTTAATGAAAGTTATTTGAACAGCATTGTTCATATGATTTTGTATTGCAGTCACAATAACCTTTATATTCCATAACATAGGTTTTTTTGGGTCAGATCGCGTAAATATAAATGTGTCGTTAAACCCGCCACCAACCAACACAGCCAATTAGTAAGGTTTGTTACGTAAACAGAACCTGCCAATTCGTTACCAGTACAGCACACCGGTGTGTTGGGGGGCAAATCCACAACATTTACAATCTGAGTAAGTACGACGTTTCGCCAGTAATTACTAGCTTCATCAGGCGACAGACAGATTTGTGGAGAAATCCTCCTGTTTTGGTTCCTTAAATACATGCCAAAAAAGCATTCAGATGTCTGCCTGAATTTATAAACATGAAAAAAACCGCCACTTTTTTTCAAATTTTCTTGCTGTGGTTTTCACACCCGATGACGATTGCTTGTGTTGCAGTCGAAACGTCGTGAGAATTTTATTGTTTTATATTTTTATCGTTTTATTGTTTCCCTTCTGCGTGACTTTACCGAAAGAACCAAGAATATGAAAATAGCAGTGGATAAATCAAAGCTGCAACTTATTGACGAAATAAACATTGCAAGGGTGGTGGTCATTCCGTCGAGTTATTTATTTATTCCACAGTGCGGTGTACTTTTTAGGCAAGAAACGATTTGGCTCCCCTTTACAACGATGCTCGGAATTTGAGGTCACCATCTCATCCAAGAAGGGACTATGTGTGTCATTGGGGAGAATGCAGCCCCGACAGAGGCTTGCAAGGTTCATTGAGAACCGATGACATTTAGCAGAGGCAAATCAAAAGAATCGACTTTACACTGACGATTCGAGTCGCGTTTCACAGGCGCAAGAGACGACTTTGATCGATGAGTTGTTCCGTTTCGACTGCCTGGTCCCACAGGTGGCTTCGAGTTTCAAATAATATAACTCCAACCACCGATAATACAGGCACACAGGATGAACTAACTCATTAATTAGAAAACAATTGGTTCTACCTTCTGCTCATAATATTTTTTTGTTGCCAATTAGAATAATTATAATCATGGGTTATCCAATGAAAATGCTGATAGGGTTTGCTATAATCAATGTAGCAGAGTGTTAGCACTGAAGACAGGGATTGATTGGCCCTGCTAACGGTACGAGATCTTCCGTGCCCTTTCCTGTCACCCGCCGTGCGTTGCAAGGCCGAGCTGAGCTTCACCGCCGGGGACATCATCGCCATCTATGGAGACATGGATGAAGATGGATTCTACTTTGTGAGAAGCCACTGACATCAACGAGGAGCATAAAACATCACGCACACTGCGGTCATCCTCGCAGCGGCAGCTTTTGGCGAACCATCGAACCAAGACGGTCACCGGCATCGCGCGCTTTGAGATGCGCTTCTACGGCCGTCTGGAACGCTTTTCTTTCCGATATCAGGAAGCCACTGTAGCTATGCACTTTTCAATCTAGATAGAAAACTCATTTCTCTAGAACTGATTTTTGTGTTTAGTTGTTGTCCTTCCCCCGCACCTTCGATTAGCATGGTTGATTACGTACGGTGCAAAAGAAGTTCAATATACATACAACATACATACATCGTCATTGTCATGCGTACATCGTCGCAGATACATCATCACAAAGGCTTCGGTTTAGCAATGAGTTAGTAAATTAACCTATACCATCTATCTGTATGTGTGCCGTGACCTCCTGCACCACTTCACATGGCCTCAAAGTGAATTTGACGTGGCAGAAGTGCCAAGGTGAAGTCACTACTACTCAGTGGCTATTGTTGACAATCTGGTTCATTTCATAAATAACCCTCCAGGACAGAGATTATAAGCCATGAGGACAGCATGGTAGTCTATGATTTATATTGGAGTTGTGAATGGGCCCTAATTTCTAAATCACTTTGGCTAATGATGGGATTACTGACTGTGTGTGTGTGTGTGCGTGCCCTGTTACACAGGGAGAACTGAACAGCCAGACTGGCCTCGTACCCTCCAACTTCCTGGAGGAGGTGCCGGGAGACTTGGAGGTAGCACTGTCCATTCCTGATGAGAGAGAGGCTGACGGCGAACAGCAGGCAAGCGGTGGCTAATCTGTGAAACATCCGAATGGATAATTAATCTCGCGAAGTGACACCATTAAGGGAATTTTTGTTAAAAATATATACACATGTAAAAAAAACCCAACGCAAACCAAGCATTAAACAAATAACAATTATGTTATCGGATGCATGGGCAAGCACGCGTGTGGCGGAGGCAGTCGGATGTTTGCCGCTGCATTTGACACGTGCTCATTCTCAACCGATCCGCAGGCGGAGAAAGCGGCAGAGGAGGCAATGCAAGACGAGAGCCGAGCGGGCGATCACGAGGACGCGCCGCTCAACGGCAGGGCGGCGCGCGCGGCCGAGGCCGCCCAACCTCCGGCGGCGCCACAGCCGGCGAAGGCCGAGGGACCGCCGGCAGAGGGAGCGGCGGCGGCAGCGGGGGGTGGGGGTCGCAGTGACGAGGAGGCGAGCGCGGAAAAAGCGTCCGCCCTGCTGCCGTCGCCGGCCACGTCCGGCGGCGGGTCCCCTAAAACTCACGGCTCCTCCTCCAGCCCTGCCAGCAGCCTGGAGGGCTCGCCGCGCAAGAAGAAGGGCTTCTTCTCCAAGGGCAAGTATCTCCTGAAGAAGCTGGGACCCAGCAAGAAGCAGTGAGCACGCGGCTTGCAGATGCCACCGAGGGCCCAGTTGGTGAACGGTGGCACGGCTTGTCCATGCTGCTCCGGGTTTGTATTCGACACGCCGCGCGGTGCCCTATGATGCGACCTTGTCGGCCAGTACATGCACTTTCCTCTGTCAATCCATTGGCTGGATGACGGCGTCCCAAGGTCGTGCGGGTCGTGGGGGTTATTTTATGATGCTCTGCCACCTGGGTCAGAGAAGGTTGGTAAAGGCTGGGGGTATAGGTGGTTGGAGCATAGAATAACAGTCCAGCAATGTATTTTATTGCTGCCACAAATGTAGCCCTTCAGTTGCAGTAAGTCAAATTGAAATAAAAAGAGATGTTTTTAATTAATCAAACTTTCATGCGATTATTATCTTGTAACGCGACAAAGATCTAAATTGTGTTATGAAAGAAATACAAAGACTAACCAATTCTAGTGTTATTTTACTCTGGCCAAAAAACAAGAAAGAATTTTTTTTTTAAATGGTTCGATCCTCGCCAAACACGACATTGAGTCCAGCCACGCTTAGAAGAGCAAGAAAATTCCTGGTTCAACAGTTGGATTAGTCGTGTTGATGTTGACACAACAAGCGGACACGAAACAGCACATGAGGCTGCTAGTGTGATGGGTTTTCTTCCAAAACCCATGGATTTTCTCACTGAAGTTGGTGATTTTATTTTCACCCTAACACACGCACTCCAACCCAACAACTGCTAAGTGCTACCCCACCCGCAGTGTTAATGGTGAGATGGTGCCATTGCACTTGGAACAAACTGTCGGCAATTCCCTTTGCATGGCAGTATCGCAAAAATGACAAGACAGTAAAATGAATCGGCACCTGAAGTTATTGCTGAAAAATCAAACTGTTAGGCCAAGTGGCCTCCCAACAATGATCATTCCTCCCCAAGATAGCAGGGCTCTTAACAGTTTACAAGAGTAAAACAAAACTAACGTGAGAATCTTGTTGAATTTCACTCGGGGCAAAAACAAACACCAGGCAAGGTAAACGTTTTGGCTGCTCAGCCACTTCACCAGGACTCTGCTGAGCTGCACTGATGACGACGGCGATGTCCGACTTAATTCCCGGTGGGAATTCTATTCCTTCCCCAACGCCGCCTCCTCCAGCCACCACTGTTTTAAGTCGTGGTCCTTCGTGGACCGTTGTCTCTGAAAAAGTGAAGGTGGACTCCAGCCAGAGGAGCATTTGTTCAAGGCTGGACACCATCTGAAATGGACTTTCGCCGTCGCCCAACGGCACAGGAGGCGGTCGTGGACCTCGCCGACAAAACGCGTTCGTGTTTGTTTTGTGCATTCTAATGTGGTGGCTGATGGGCCCTTGGCAGACAGCCACCATCACGGTCCTCTCGCTTTGTTGAAGGCCTGGAGCTTAAAAGGGTGTATCAACCAGTGCCGAATCATCGGATGTGAAACGTATCAGCACGCCGTGTGTTTTTTCGCCACTTGTCGCTGTCACCGGACCTAAGTGGATGAGATTGGGAGTGGAATATGGGCGCTCACGCTGTCATCACTCGCAATGGCTCTGCGAAAATATACTCACAATGGTGCTCTCCACATTGGCACCACACTGCACTACGGAGCATTCCTTTTCATTATGTTTATAATTTAAATAACACCGCATTATATCATAAGCTGTATATAGAGTCGGGTTTTGAAATGCGACTAAAGTAACAGAAGGGAAAATACCAGAAGGAAAAGCGTTGCGTTTTTGGTAGTCATAGAAGTACACATTTGTATTATTTATTTAATTCAAGGACGTTGTCAGAGCTGGTCTGCAGGGAGTGGTCACAACCCAGATCAATGATTGCTGAGAGTTGTGAAGAGCAGGACAGATTGTCAATGCCGGAAGATGCCTCAGATGTGCATCCATGTGCAGCGCATTGTCAAACCACTGCTGAATGAGAAGCTCTGGCCCATGTGCAAAGGGCTCTGGATATCTGCTGCACCACCCTCTGTTGCCCCCCACGTCAACTGTAATTTCTACCCATGCAAACATCCAGATAAAAAAAAAACCCTGCTTAGCTTGCGAAGGTCTGGGCACATTGCGGATGATTTAGACATACTGTATAGATCTCGGACATGAAATTTACTGAAAGGAGCAAGTAACTCTGTCATTTGCTGTGGGACATCTTGCTCAAGGATAGGCATGATATTCCCCTCATATGCCAATCAGGCGTGGATTAAAGTTAAAGTTGATTCCAACTTGATTAACGTAAGAATAAACAATTTACAATGTATTTAAAGTACAGTATGTGCTAATGGTTCATTTAGGTTCATGGGGTGACAGACAAAACTGCACGAGACAGAAAAAAAACCCCATCAAAGAGCATGAACATGGAGGTAGAAATATGCAGAGGTGAATTGATTTCTAATCGAATCGCGACCCTAAATCGTGACAATTCATCAAATCACTCAGGGAGTGAATCGTAACATACCCTACCGCCTGTGATGGGAATATCTGTGCCATGACGGGTGTCTGACACAAACACGCATTTGTTTTCTTCATCCGTGGAGATGGCCCAGACCTTTAGCAAGATGTCCACCATTCTGCTTGCTATTGTGAAGAGTGGTGGCGTAGCTATTGAGTGTGCAGGCGGTGCAACTGCACCAGGACCCACGGGCTTAAGGAGAGCCGAGGCATAGGGCTCCAGAACGGAGGAAAATTATAAAAGGGGGCTCCATTGTTTTCCTTACACCAGGGCCCATGTCAATCACACTACACACTACTGGTGAAGGTTTTTTTTTTAAATAAATTACCGGTACATGTCCATGCAGTCTTCTTCTAATCCACGCTCAGAAGGGTGTCCTGCAAACCGGCGACTGACCAAAGTGTAATAATTTAGGCGCTCGTGATAACTACTCGCGTAATCATACATGGGCAATTAAAATTAATCCGTGCGCTCATGATACGCTCGTGCATATAAACAAAAATATTTGATTAATTTTAATTTTAAAAAAAATCTCTATTTTGTAATGTGTTCGCGTGACCCCCCTATAGCCACTAGATGCGCTAAATTAATTTCTTAAAATACAATTGTTACATGTCTATTCGGTGGTGGATAAGTCAATCGGGGGGAATGGGTCGGTTGGTCAGAAATGAAGACCGCACAGTATAGATTGATTCACACAAACGTAACTCCCTCTATCCTACTCAGCCCTTGAGATGCAGTGCTTCACGGCTTGTGCTCATAGTTTGCAGTACACCGATGCATCATCGATCGCTTCTTCTTTATAGAGAGGGGCGCTTGTGTTTTTTTTTCCCCGCACGCTGGACCTGGGATGTGGAAGGATTTGAAGTCGGGGGTCCCCTCCTGCCTTGCAAAGGCACTCGGTCATTGAGCCATAACTGCCACCGCCGCTGCACTTACACGCATCGATGGCGGCTCCAATCCATGTAACAGTCATGACTATAACTGCGTTGTGAATACGTACCAAACTGTTCCCGCTTGTAGTTGAATTTGTCCCTGCTGCGCGGATATTAACACAGCACAGTGATGGCACAGAGATGGGAATCATCCCCTGCTGCACGTCAGCAGACGTAATCTGTGGTGGTTCCCATCTCCGTACAAGGCCATGACTATAACTGTGTTATCCTGGCGGGTACTGCAGTTTACTTTGTGCCTGCGGCAGAGGTAGATGGGGGGGGTTGACTCCCAAGAGCACAGCATTGATGTCTATCTTATGCTGAATACTTTGTGTGCTTGTAGCGATGTAGAGGCCGGGTAGCGGGGCTCTTGTGTAAAGGTCCCCCAGCGCTTCTCCGTACGCACGGGTGAGCACACTTATTAACAGGGTTCGCATCTGCTGGCAACCGCGGCGGCGTGCTCTCACTTTGGTTGTGGCAGTAAGCGCACATTTTGTGCATCACAACGGCATTGCCTTAGTGCGGGGGGGCTGCCTTTGCCTTGGAGGCATTCCCAGGGGATGTCGAAGGAAATAGCCGGTGTTGAAGGAAAAGCTTGCGTCGAATGTTGAAGGACCGTGGGGAGGGCAGGCCGCGGGTTCAGTGCTTGCTTCGTGCCAAGTGCTTGCCCCCCCGAAACGGCGAGTCGTGTCCGGCTCCCAAAAGTGCCAAAATCCCTAAGGGCCCCATCCGGCTTTTGGGACGTGGGGGGCTTTCTCTTGGTAGGATTGTTTGTATTACAGGATCCTCAGTTTTGTATTTCTTGCCATGAGATATTGCCATAAATACGTTCCAGGTGAAGATAAGTGTCAAGAGAAGAAAGTATTGCTGTGGCTTTTTTTCCAAACGGAGAAGTGCTCTCGCCGGGTTGGGGTTTGTAGTTTTTGGCATTGATGTTTTTGTGGACCTATTTTATAAACAATTGTTGCCATTTGGCTGAAGTTAATGCTGAATTTTTATTTTGCAAACTCTGTTCACAGTGTATATACCGTACGTGGGTGTAGCAGCAATTAAGCTCTCAGAGCTGCAGTGACTAAGTCTGGGTTTAGCACCGGTGGTTTGGAATGAAGCCACATTGACCGATAGACATCATAGACCACACACCTAAAAATCGATATCCGTACAAGTCTGAAAAATAAAATTAATAAGTACATTCAATTAGCGACAGATTGAAATTAATGAGCCGTTCAAGTGCCATTATGTTAAGAGAGATTATTTTTTAAAAAAGTTACGTTTGAGAGGTTTTTTTTCCACATTATTTTCAGATCGAGTATAATTGTTGTGAGGTTTTTTTTTTACATGGCGTGTGCGAGTAATTTGTAACGTGTTTGTGTAAATTTTCGTGTTCAGGCAGCGTGGTTTATTGGTGTGTGCCCTTTGTGAGAGCTCAGTGTAACTGACAGAATGGGTGGCACAGCTGTAAGTTGCATTAGTCTCCATGTACATACACTGCACCCATTTGACTGCTTTGAGCCAAAATAAAGTTTTACATTTATTTTTCAAACGTTAGTTTTCTTTTTTTTGTCATGTTGTTGTCCGTATTGCGAGGCACAGCTTCTGGCTTCTGCATTTTTTTTTTGCCAAATCACCGCTTATGTGATAACAGTTTTAAGAGTCCACTCTGCCCCAACAGTTTCTCACACGGGCTATTAATCTTTTAACCATCGTCATTAAGGTTACCTTAAAATAATAATGAACAGCCCTTTGTCAATCCACTGACAGATGACCACCTCTGATGAGCACGGTTGGCGACATACAGTGTGAAAGAAGTTCAACATACATACAAATGCATACCATACGATGATCACACGCCGGGTCACGGTGAAGCATGGCTGAGAATCGAACACAGGTAACCCGGCTTCCCAAACCTGGTAAAGTGTAAAATTTTGATTTAAAGCTTTCGTGATTGCAGTAATTCATATTCTTCACCGAAAGAGCTGGTAAAGTGTGCTTCCGATTTTGCTCATGCAACAAACCTCTTATAAGTGCAGCCCCAAACAAGGCTTTGCGCGGTTCTCTTGACGATGGAATGAGGTGACATTCTGTGTGCGCAATTGAGAATAAGATTTTATTGTTGCCCTCAAAGCACATAAATTACACGAAGTGCAGATTTGCGTCCACAGCTAATTACAGGAGGCATTAAGCAACGTTGTTTGGAGATGCTATATGTACATTACCTTTGCTGCTAAGATTACAAGGCACCCATGCCCAATACTTGACACCCTTACCCAAGCTGCACTCCAGCTACCGATAGAACAATACAGCAATATAAAATGGTTTACAATATTTAAAATAAGGCTTTTACAACCAAAAAAATACTCATTACTACTCTCAGTAAAACGTTTAAATAATTGTGCTTTACAGCATTAACAGTATCAGTATTCAAAGACTGAAAGAAAATGAGGATCCTTAGAACCAGCTGCGTTACCTGTTAAGCCACGTGTATATGTTAACATAATCGTATTTACATGGATCATTGACTGCTGAATGTGCTGTGGGTTACATAAAGCAGAAGCCATTTGGCTGTCGATCATGACCATTGCATTTCACTAATGAGGAAAGGAATTATAGATCACTTAAGCTCATACTGATAATTAAGCACAATTATGATGCTGTCAATGCAAAGTGCCAAGCCTCGTTACTATAACAATATTTTTTGGTGTGTTCCGAATGTGTGTACATGTGCATATACCTGCATGCACACAGCAAGGCTCTCTACTGTGCCGGCCTTACTAGGTGCTTGCTAACAGCACTTGCACCCAATGTACAGTACAATTATAAGCCGGTCGCACCTCCGATTAGCACGGTTGGATACGTACGGTGCGAAAAAAGTTCAACATATATACATTGACCCTCAGTTGCATACATACGTAGGCATTGACGCACAACAACAATCTATCACCATTCACTTCTGGCACCACAATCTGTGACGCCACCTTCCTCTCCACCAGCGAACCCCGAAGCAAAAAAAAAAACATTCTCGGAGTAAAATGAAAACAAAGCATGCAACTCTCGGACATGTTTTCTGGGTGTGCCGTGTGTTGTTCGAAGAGATGTCTGCCATGTTGCTTCCCTGTGCTGGTAGCTTCCTCGGGAAATTAATTGAAGCTCCCAGCACATGCAGCGAAATGTCAGACATCGTGCCGAACAACACACGGCACAACTCGAAAGCACGTTCGATAGCCGTACAGCACAGACAGAAAATCCATTGCGGCAGTAGTAATCGCACGTGTTTGCAGTGGAGGCGACTATCCCACGCCATAAATGCGGTGTGTGAAACATTTCCGCCAAAATCTACACGCACAAGACGGTAGCGGGCGAGTCGTAATCGTCCTGTGCATCGGCCAAAAGTGCGTCATCGGGCAAGCTGGAGTCCACCGAGTCGACAGAGTCCCCAGAAACGAAGGGAGGAGGGTGCTGCAGGCCAGGAGAGTCCCAGGAAGGCGAAAGAGGCCCCGCAGAAAGGGGCCACGGAGAAAGGGGCTCTGGGGAAAGAGGCCCCGGCGAGAGGCAGTCGGTGGCGTCTACGGTGTCCAGCGCTTGCAAGTTGCCGTCACCGATCGGGGACAGGCAGGATGTGGGGCTCAGCAGCGTTTCCTTGCCGAGTACAGCCGGGATGAGAACCTGCAACCAATGCCGCATCAACTTCTGGCTCTCGGCGGCAAAGTAGAGGGTGCGGCGCGACTGCACCATCTTAAACGCGTGCTGCGCCTCGATGTTGTCCGCCGGATCCACGGGGCGCACCTCGTACCCCGGCAGCGGGAATGTGGCTTGCGCCTTCACATCCTGTGGTGGTGATGGCAGAGGAGGTTAGCGCCAGCTCTGAGCCACTGCACAGTTTCATGCAGTAATTAAGGGGTATAGTTGATGAAAACTTATGATTGATAGACCTTTCACAATCCACATTTAGATGAAGGACACGCTATGCAGCGGTGGTATTGGGGGGGGGTGTTTGACGGTAGTTCACCACGCCGCTCAGTGCTGGTTGGTGATGCAGGGGAACCCATGACCAGATTGGATGTCACTTGACACTGATGTTAGCCACGGCTGGGAATCAAACTCGGGTAACTGGGTTCACAGTGCAGCGTGCTAATCACTGTGCGAACCCTCCGGCGAACAGTTTATGTAAACTAAACTGATCCATAACAATGCATCGAATGTCCGGGGGAGGTGACTTGTTACGTGTCCATTGCGCTCACCTGCGGGGCTTTGTACAGGTAGAGGACGAGGGGTTCGCTCGTGGGGATGACAAACCAGGCTCTCTTCCATCCACGTCCGCTGCTCTCCGTGTAGTTCAGGAAGCTGCGCATGATGCTGTTGTCTGACATCTCGGCTCCTTGGCGCTGAAAAGCGAGGCGCTGCGCGTGAGTGCGAGCACTATTCAGCACGTAGTTGCCACACGGACGACAGGAATTCTTTGCAGTGAAGCGACCCATGGAGCCTTGGCCAGGCTTTGAAATCATCGCGCGTTGCTTGTTGAGCCACCACCAAGAGGTACGCAATTGGAATTATGATTCTGTCGGAAATGTTATCAGTTTCTTGGAAGGGAGATTTTATTTAGACTGCCCTTGGCCAATCATCTACTGGACGAAGGTCTCCCCATGCCATGTTAAGGGGGGGGTTGTCTGACCGCACTAGGCTGGTCAGTGAGGGGTTGGTGAAGGGGTGGCACAGATCCGGTGCAAATACCACTCGCCACTTATTTTAGCCGTGGCTGGGAGAATTTATCTCACGCTGCTGGGGTCGTAGTGCAATTTCTGAACTCATGAGCAACTGCTACACCCTCGGACAGGGAGACAGGTGTTGATGATGCAAACTGTGGGAAAATAAATGTTTGGATTTTCCAATTCCTACATATATTTTGTGAAAAGTAGAATCTTATTGTTGTTTTCCTTACAACTCAACATATTAAACACATTATTTATACTTATTTTAAAGTCTAAATTTTACCTCAGCAGAGGTGAAATATAGACAATAGGAAGGTTGCGGGTTATGTTTTTTGGACATATGCGTACATTAATGAAAACCCGTGGTTATGGTACTTACAACAGCCATTTAGTTTAGATATAAAAAGCTTGAATGAGTGTCAATATTAATTTACAAGAGGGTTATGTATTGTCATATTGGACCAATTACTTGACGTATTTATGTATTTCCCTCCCCCCCCCCCCAATTTATTCCAACTGTGTTATCTGCATTATGTCAAGAGACAATGTAAATTCAAAACTCTTGCAGAATAGTGCATCTCCATGTACTATATGATAGAGCTGGCTTTGGAAGGATATATCACAACAAATTCTGAGATCCCTCCCAAGTAATTAATCCTGCACACTGATGGGTGAACTTTCCCTGCACAGAGAAGCATTCACCAATTCGCAGTACAACTGATTCCTCTTTCATCATCAGAGTTGGAATTTCGCCAAATTAATTCGAAAACCCACATTTTACAAGGATTTTTATGCAGTATTGGATGACCTTGCCAAGACCACAAACATCTCCACACTTGAGAACCCAGTTCAATCACGAGCGGCTGATATGTACGTATGTATGTTGAACTTCTTTCGCACCGTATACAGCCAACCGTGCTAATCGGAGATTCAAATCCTGGATCTCAGTGGTTGCCTGCTCAGTGGCCTAAACCCCTTAACCACCCGTTCACCATGACCGAGGGCGATGCAGCAGTGTGGAGTTCGTCGCTTCAACGTTGCCTGGCACTTCACTTTGGCAATGTTGCCCAGGAGAGAGCTGCCTCACCTCCAGGACATTCTTGCTCTTCTCCTTGGGGGTGTCCACCTCGCACCGGTTCCCCCGTGCGGACAGGATGTGGTTACACTCGACGCACACGCGGTTGAATTTCCCAGGCTCGTACTCCAGCTCAATCTTGAAGTCGGAGCATTTCCAACACACCACCTGCAGGAGCAGCCAGCATGGGTGATGAGGGCTCATCACTATCATCGGCATCTCGGTGTGCGTCACCACCATAGGCAGCGGGTGGCTACAGCTGACAGGACTTGACCACCTGTAACCCAGCTATTGAGTTCAAACAGCCCATACAGTAAACAAGAAAAGCCTCTCAAAGCCAGACTTGGCGAGAGAGTACAAGGTCAGCGCTGGCAAGGAGTACGCAGTGCAAGAGGACGCTGCTGCATTCTGCAATCAATGAAGCCGCTTTCTGGCTCGGCGCAAACGCACAAACTAAGTAAATCATAAAATACGAGCAGAGCATGTGGCAAGCGGAACTGAACTTCACCGGATCAGGACCAGTCAAGTACTGGCCCAGCGTCAGCCCATAGGTCTGTGTCCCAGTGCTGGCCCCGCTATCCCCTCCCCCCCTCCTCTGTGGCCATTGGGGCTGTGGGTATGGAAGTGACATTGAAAATTAAAGTGTTTTTATTGTCATTTTAACGCAGGCATGGATTAGTTGAGAATAGAGCAAAAGTTGTATATCAGCAAACCCCTTTGGAGCGAGTATGCTTAAATCTGAAGTAGTTTGTCAGTATCAGAACATGCTCTTAGCCTTACCAGTGTAATGTAATGATGCATTGCTTATATATATGGGTTGTTTTATCCACCTTTTTATGTATTTTAAGTTACACCTGTATTTTTTGTAGTTTTCCACATTTTTATGCTAACATGGTGCTGAATTTAAACAAAGCGAGTTACATCACCGCTTGCGCCTATCACTTCCACGTAGCCCAGGTAAAAGCACGCGATTTGGAATCAAAAGAGGGAGAGGAGATTGGGGATCGGGGTACCAAACTCAAGTTTGATTTGGGAAGGCTCGGGAGGCAGCGCCACCATGGGGCACCATGGTGGCGAAATGTCATCTCCCTTGTTTAGTGTGTAGGATGTCATCTCCCTTGTTTAGTGTGTAGGATGTCATCTCCCTTGTTTAGTGTGTAGGATGTCATCTCCCTTGTTTAGTGTGTAGGATGTCATCTCCCTTGTTTAGTGTGTAGGATGTCATCTCCCTTGTTTAGTGTGTAGGATGTCATCTCCCTTGTTTAGTGTGTAGGATGTCATCTCCCTTGTTTAGTGTGCAGGATGTCATCTCCCTTGTTTAGTGTGTAGGATGTCATCTCCCTTGTTTAGTGTGTAGGATGTCATCTCCCTTGTTTAGTGTGTAGGATGTCATCTCCCTTGTTTAGTGTGCAGGATGTCATCTCCCTTGTTTAGTGTGTAGGATGTCATCTCCCTTGTTTAGTGTGCAGGATGTCATCTCCCTTGTTTAGTGTGTAGGATGTCATCTCCCTTGTTTAGTGTGTAGGATGTCATCTCCCTTGTTTAGTGTGTAGGATGTCATCTCCCTTGTTTAGTGTGCAGGATGTCATCTCCCTTGTTTAGTGTGTAGGATGTCATCTCCCTTGTTTAGTGTGTAGGATGTCATCTCCCTTGTTTAGTGTGTAGGATGTCATCTCCCTTGTTTAGTGTGTAGGATGTCATCTCCCTTGTTTAGTGTGTAGGATGTCATCTCCCTTGTTTAGTGTGTAGGATGTCATCTCCCTTGCTTAGTGTGCAGGATGTCATCTCCCTTGCTTAGTGTGTAGGATGTCATCTCCCTTGCTTAGTGTGTAGGATGTCATCTCCCTTGTTTAGTGTGTAGGATGTCGTCTCCCTTGTTTAGTGTGTAGGATGTCATCTCCCTTGTTTAGTGTGCAGGATGTCATCTCCCTTGTTTAGTGTGTAGGATGTCATCTCCCTTGCTTAGTGTGTAGGATGTCATCTCCCTTGCTTAGTGTGTAGGATGTCATATCCCTTGCTTAGTGTGTAGGATGTCATCTCCCTTGTTTAGTGTGTAGGATGTCATCTCCCTTGTTTAGTGTGTAGGATGTCATCTCCCTTGTTTAGTGTGTAGGATGTCATCTCCCTTGTTTAGTGTGTAGGATGTCATCTCCCTTGCTTAGTGTGTGCAGGATGTCATCTCCCTTGTTTAGTGTGTAGGATGTCATCTCCCTTGTTTAGTGTGCAGGATGTCATCTCCCTTGTTTAGTGTGTAGGATGTCATCTCCCTTGTTTAGTGTGTAGGATGTCATCTCCCTTGTTTAGTGTGTAGGATGTCATCTCCCTTGTTTAGTGTGCAGGATGTCATCTCCCTTGTTTAGTGTGTAGGATGTCATCTCCCTTGTTTAGTGTGTAGGATGTCATCTCCCTTGTTTAGTGTGTAGGATGTCATCTCCCTTGTTTAGTGTGTAGGATGTCATCTCCCTTGTTTAGTGTGTAGGATGTCATCTCCCTTGTTTAGTGTGTAGGATGTCATCTCCCTTGCTTAGTGTGCAGGATGTCATCTCCCTTGCTTAGTGTGTAGGATGTCATCTCCCTTGCTTAGTGTGTAGGATGTCGTCTCCCTTGTTTAGTGTGTAGGATGTCGTCTCCCTTGTTTAGTGTGTAGGATGTCATCTCCCTTGTTTAGTGTGCAGGATGTCATCTCCCTTGTTTAGTGTGTAGGATGTCATCTCCCTTGCTTAGTGTGTAGGATGTCATCTCCCTTGCTTAGTGTGTAGGATGTCATATCCCTTGCTTAGTGTGTAGGATGTCATCTCCCTTGTTTAGTGTGTAGGATGTCATCTCCCTTGTTTAGTGTGTAGGATGTCATCTCCCTTGTTTAGTGTGTAGGATGTCATCTCCCTTGCTTAGTGTGTAGGATGTCATCTCCCTTGTTTAGTGTGTAGGATGTCATCTCCCTTGTTTAGTGTGTAGGATGTCATCTCCCTTGTTTAGTGTGTAGGATGTCATCTCCCTTGTTTAGTGTGTAGGATGTCATCTCCCTTGTTTAGTGTGTAGGATGTCATCTCCCTTGTTTAGTGTGCAGGATGTCATCTCCCTTGCTTAGTATGTAGGATGTCATCTCCCTTGTTTAGTGTGTAGGATGTCATCTCCCTTGCTTAGTGTGTAGGATGTCATCTCCCTTGTTTAGTGTGTAGGATATCATCTCCCTTGCTTAGTGTGTAGGATGTCATCTCCCTTGCTTAGTGTGTAGGATGTCATCTCCCTTGCTTAGTGTGTAGGATGTCATATCCCTTGCTTAGTGTGTAGGATGTCATCTCCCTTGTTTAGTATGTAGGATGTCATCTCCCTTGTTTAGTGTTAGGATGTCATATCTCCCTTGCTTAGTGTGTAGATGTCATATCCTTGCCTTAGTGTGCTAGGATGTCATCCATCTCCTTGTTTAGTATGTAGGATGTCCTCTCCCTTGTTTAGTGTGTAGGATGTCATCTCCCTTGCTTAGTGGTGTAGATGTTCATCTCCCTTGTTTAGTGTGTAGGATGTCATCTCCCTTGTTTAGTGTGTAGGATGTCATCTCCCTTGCTTAGTGTGTAGGATGTCATCTCCCTTGTTTAGTATGTAGGATGTCATCTCCCTTGCTTAGTATGTAGGATGTCATCTCCCTTGTTTAGTGTGCAGGATGTCATCTCCCTTGCTTAGTATGTAGGATGTCATGGGTTAGATCCCGACCCCAACACCTGTATATTTGGAGTTTGCATGTTCTGCCTGTGGTCACGTGTTTTTTTTTTTTTCTCCGGGTCCTCCGGTTTTTCCCTCCACATTTATAATCATGCGTTTACAGTATCCGGCTGCGATAAATTTCCACATGATAAGCCACTTCGTTGAGCTATCATTTGTGGCCAGGTCTCTTCTGAAAAAAAGAGCTATATAGCTCAGTGGGCCTTACCTGGTAAAATAAAAAAATGTTCATAGTTTATAGAGCTGCCATGGGAGCACAGTTTCTGGGTCCACGTCCAGTTTGCGAGCCGAGGCAGCACGCTTAACAGTGGTGGTGAAGACAGAGCACATGACAGTGGCGCAACGGGGGGGGGGGGGGGGGGAGAACTCACGTAGCCACAGGCGCGGCAGTGGTGACGGCGGCGCGTGATGGGGTGGAAGAGTTCCCCACAGCGCATGCACATGGTCACGTTGGCGTCGCGAATCCACACGGGTGCCCGCTTACCCAGTTGGCCGACCTGCAGACAAAGATGCGCAAAGGCAAAGCTCCTTCACGTACCCTACGCAGAATGCTGGAGCGTGTGAAAGTAGTGAGCTCATATTAAACCCAGCACAGCACAGCAAGGGAAACCGAAACAACCATGCTTATTTATTGTTGAAAATAGTACGGTCATCCTCACTACCGGTGCAATGCGATATAAACAAGTCGAGGACAAAAAATAGCACAATGGCATTTTATTCTAAACACTTTTCTTCCACTTCTTGTACCTCATTCTTAATTATAAAATGCAACTAAACAAACACAATATTTGACATTAACACTACCTAATAGTGGAAAAACAGAGTAGGCTGATGTTTCAGTCAATGGTCCGTCTTCAGAGCAGAGAGCAATGACAGTTACATTTTTAAATTACTAATTGAATGACAAACCGGTAGGTCATCCTCCTGTGTGCTGTCCTTCCTGAAGCAATTGAATGTTTCCAGCTTTTCATTGTAAGTCACAATGGCTTTCTCGATGGCCTGGGAGTGCACAAGAGAGACAGTGTCAGGTGGTGCAGGCCAGAATATCCATCTGAGTGCAATTTCCTGCTCTGCATTCTTAAACATGATCTCATTGTTCATGTACAGTGAGGGAAAAAAGTATTTGATCCCCTGCTGATTTTGTACGTTTGCCCACTGACGAAGAAATGATCAGTCTATATTTTTAATGGTAGGTTTATTTGAACAGTGAGAGACAGAATAACAACAACAAAATCCAGAAAACGCACGTCAAAAATGTTATAAATTGATTTGCATTTTAATGAGGGAAATAAGTATTTGACCCCCTTTCAATCAAAAAGATTTCTGGCTCCCAGGTGTCTTTTATACAGGTAACGAGCTGAGATTAGGAGCACACTCTTAAAGGGAGTGCTCCTAATCTCAGCTTGTTACCTGTATAAAAGACACCTGTCCACAGAAGCAATCAATCAGATTCCAAACTCTCCACCATGGCCAAGAGATGTCAGGGACAAGATTGTAGACCTACACAAGGCTGGAATGGGCTACAAGACCATTGCCAAGCAGCTTGGTGAGAAGGTGACAACAGCTGGTGCGATTATTCGCAAATGGAAGAAACACAAAAGAATTGTCAATCTCCCTCGGCCTGGGGCTCCATGCAAGATCTCACCTCGTGGAGTTGCAATGATCATGAGAACGGTGAGGAATCAGCCCAGAACTAAACCGGAGGATCTTGTCAATGATCTCAAGGCAGCTGGGACCATAGTCACCAAGAAAAAAATTGGTAACACACTACACCATGAAGGACTGAAATCCTGCAGCGCCCGCAAGGTCCTCCTGCTCAAGAAAGCACATATACATGCCCGTCTGAAGTTTGCCAATGAACATCTGAATGATTCAGAGGACAACTGGGTCAAAGTGTTGTGGTCAGATGAGACCAAAATGGAGCTCTTTGGCATCAACTCAACTCGCCGTGTTTGGAGGAGGAGGAATGCTGCCTATGACCCCAAGAACACCATCCCCACCGTCAAACATGGAGGTGGAAACATTATGCTTTGGGGGTGTTTTTCTGCTAAGGGGACAGGACAACTTCACCACATCAAAGGGACGATGGACGGGGCCATGTACCGTCAAATCTTGGGTGAGAACCTCCTTCCCTCAGCCAGGGCATTGAAAATGGGTCGTGGATGGGTATTCCAGAATGACAATGACCCAAAACACACGGCCAAGGCAACAAAGGAGTGGCTCAAGAAGAAGAACATAAAGGTCCTGGAGTGGCCGAGCCAGTCTCCAGACCTTAATCCCATAGAAAATCTGTGGAGGGAGCTGAAGGTTCTAGTTGCCAAACGTCAGCCTCGAAACCTTAATGACTTGGAGAAGATCTGCAAAGAGGAGTGGGACAAAAATCCCTCCTGAGATGTGTGCAAACCTGGTGGCCAACTACAAGAAACGTCTGACCTCTGTGATTGCCAACAAGAGTTTTGCCACCAAGTACTAAGTCATGTTTTGCAGAGGGGTCAAATACTTATTTCCCTCATTAAAATGCAAATCAATTTATAACATTTTTGACATGCGTTTTTTTCTGGATTTTTTTTGTTATTCTGTCTCTCACTGTTCAAATAAACCTACCATTAAAATTATACACTGACCATTTCTTTGTCAGTGGGCAAATGTACAAAATCAGCAGGGGATCAAATACTTTTTTCCCTCACTGTAAAACAATCCCATTCGTGTAATGAAGATTTTAAAAGATATGTTTCAAAATATATGAAGAATTAGATTTGGTCGTATTAAAATATTGCAGAAGTAAATGCACACAGCCTCGATATGACCCTTATCCGTCTTTGACCAAGAGACAAGGGCTATTTTGAGACACATATCAGTGACATGATTTTTGCAAATATACCGCATGATTAAAGAGCTACTGAACATAATCAGTAATTGAGGAGGCGGGGCAGTGGCACAGTGGTGAGCACACTGTGCTAGCAACCCGGAGACCTTAGTTCTAATTTACTGCTAACATTGGTTGGGGCTTAAATCGCAACCAGTCCTGGGCCCCCATTTTACCAACCCGCACTCATCAGCATGGTGAAGTATGGTTAAACAACTCCATGACTCACAAGGCCTCGAGAATCATTTTTCCATCAGTGGACCGACAACTGAAATTCAACGAGGGTTCAATAGTTTAAATATTTTTAGATACCTCAATCCATTCCTGTTTTTCTTTCTCGCTCCTGTGAAGCAAAAACATGAAGTAATGAGTTCACATTCCAGCCTGCATTCCAAACATTGCAGGCTAACAATCAGTGGCATGATGTCATGGTGGTATGGCCAAACAAAAGTTCATCTACAATAGCACAGAGGGTATATCTCATAATCATTATCCATCTCTTTACACACACATTGTTGTGACCAATGTACCTGGAATGTACCCAATATCTTCAGATCTCTGAAACTATGCAAGATTCAGCCTGCATAGCATAGCCCATGCATGGGCAACCACGATGCACATAGCAAGGGTTACAGGCTGAGGGACCGCGCTGTCAGCAGAGGACAGTGAAAATCAATTGTTGCACTACACTCTGCTTCAAAGTCTGTTGCCCACCTTCACCAAACACCCCAACCGACCAGCATATTGAAGTATGGTCAAATAACCCCTAAGATCCGCACGGCGTGGATTGACAAAAGTGCCGTGCATGTCTTTAGTCTCCATCGAGATCGACAATCCCTGCCAATATCTCAGGAAGCGTGCACGTGCAATGCACCGAGAGTGGGACCACACTGAACACACCTCGCCCGCAGCTCCAGGGCCCTCTGTGTGCCGCACACTTGGAATACGGGGACCGCCTCATGCCGTTTTATGTCGGTAACCTGCGGGCGACACGTCGACACCGTCCTTGAATGCATGATGATGGCTCGGGGAGGGTGGAGGTGAAGGTAGCTGCATTCAACCGTGTTCTATTACGTGGATTGCAGACTGAGTGTATGAATGCGCCACGCATGTACGGTCCCACTCATTAAACATATAGTGCTTGCCACAAATGAAACACAATACCTTCCTGATCTCATCAAGAAGGATAAAACATCAAACGGATCTGCGGTCATCCTCGCAGCGGCTTTTGGCTGGCCACTGAACAAAGACGGTCACTGCATTGCGTGCTTTCAGATGCAATTTTCTGTGGCCGTCTGGAGTGCTCTTCCTTTTGATATTAGGAACCCGCTGGAGTAATACGCTTTTAAACCGAGATTTTAAAAAACGCGATTCTAAAGAAATTCGTTTCATGTTTAGTTTGTTGGCCTTCCCATGCACCCCCAATTAGCACGGTTGGCTACGTACGGTGCGAAAGAAGTTTAACATACATACATACATACGATCTTGTGCAGGGGTTAATTTCTCACTCTTCATTTTCTTCCAGGTCGCTGTGGTCCATGCGAATGGTATAACAAATAGCGTCCAATCAACTTAGCCTCATAGTGTTTCACTTGAGACCAATGCTGTGTTTTCAAGATCATAGCGAAGGGTCCTAGCTCGATTTGCAAATCGAGCTAGCAGGCAGAGCCCCCAGTTCGCATGGCAACCTTGCTGGGCTGACCCCACACCAAAGGGGCCAGGCAGGTTTCTTTAATGGTGTAGCCGCATGCTATTACGTGGGCTGGGCTGCTTTCGAAACCAGTGATGACATCACAGGGTCAACACCTTCACATAGTTCAACTTCAGGGTCAGGTTTTTTGTAAAAAAAAAAAGAAAATCCTCATGAAAAAAATACAAAAAAATAACAACACATTTTGCCTTGATGAAGTGTTGGGACATAGACCCACACCGTGCTGTTAATCCTGGAACACAAGTCGGTTGTTCCTGGGCCGCCAAACCCATTTCTACGATCATTGGAACCTGGAGGCTTGAGCCAGTAAGTGCCAGCATTGTGTCGTGACAGCACATCTGGTCTTCAAATGGAAGACCTGGGTTTGGTTCGTGTGGTTGGGTGTATGTTTGTGTGCCAAGTTGCAAAGGATTAAATTGAACACCTACCTTCATGCCCATGACATCAATTCTGGAGCGGACGCTGAATTTCTGTCCCATCAGCCTGATCTTGGGCGCGCAGTACAGCAGCATGCTATTGAACTGCAAAACAAACAGCACCAGCAGGATGAGCTGCAGCATCAGCAGGGTGCAGACGGATTGAGCCGTGTAACGTAACACCAGATCGATCACGAGACCTACATTTACAGACGACGCAATTTCCTGCTATGTTGTGTAACAATTCACCCCTCTCCCCTCTTGCAATTAAATGAATTGTTGCAATTCAGGGTCCCGAATCAATTAACCTTTATTTGTTCCACTGTAGTCAATATAGGGACCTTTCGCAGCTGCAGGGGTCCCGTGAACCCATTACATACCACATATACAACTCAAACGCATATTATTAGGCATGTGAATTAACATACGAGCTGACATACTTAAGAGGTGGCTGGGTCACTCGGAGATTGGAGCAGTGAACGGGTGTAAATTAATATTAATCGTTCCTCGAATATTCAGTGCTGGGGAAATACACAATGGGATTGAACCCATATCACAGCCACGCACGATTATTTACGAGGTTTAGGGTTGTAGGCATCACATTAGTTTTGGTCCATTACATGCACGCTGAGCAACGATTTCACAAGTGACTTTGAAACGTCGGCTTAAGATTAAGGGTTTTTTTGTTGTTGAAAATACCTCAACATAGACGGATATGCTGAGAAAGCTTCCTAACCATTTAAAATTCGAGATGTAATGACGAGTGATGCGTGATTTTTTTTTTATTCAATGATGATGTTGTTACTTAGCAGGGGCACCTCACCAAGAACAGGTATCTCTCTTGCTGGGCTCCGTTGCGGGCAGACAGCTTTAGAATGGGGCCCTCTTTAAGCAGTTCATTGCTGGGGTTAACGATGTCCACCTCTCCATCCAGCTTCTCGTATATGTCCAGCAGTATCTTCACTTTTTCCTGTAACAAAACGTTTATTGTTACAGTGGAAATTTAGCCAAAATTAAGTACACAACCAAATTTCATATATATTCTTGGTTCTTTCGAATAAAGTCACGTAGAAGGGAAATAATAAAAACAAACCATAATATAAACGTCGTGAGAATTTTATTATATTGCTTAATTTTTATTATTTTATCATTTCCCTTCTACATGACTTTACCGAAAGAACCAAGAATATGAATTCCTGCAGTCACGAAAGCTTTAAATCGAAATTCAAATTTCATATGATGTTTTTTTTTTAATATTCATTGGTGACCAGGCTTGGTTACCATAAACTCGCTACACTCGAGAACCGAGTGTAATCACAAGTGACTGAAACATTCTGATTGGAACCCAAGATTGTGGTGATGCTGGCTCATCCCTCTGACCCATAAGCCCCCTGGTCACCCCACAGTGAAATTCTTAATAGACTATCAGAGCATCACTTCTGTAGCAGAGCAAACCTTCTGTCAAGAGAATTACGTTTAGGGGTTGAGAATGTGAGCTGCACACCTACCATCTTGCGGATGGCAGCGTTTGAGTGATTGGCTGCAGTGGAGATGATGTCGAGGGACTCTGGACAGACAAAGCACAAATTACAATTTGTATTTACACAATGTCTAAATGCAAAAATAGCATCTATAGCTGCTATTTTTATTTTACCAGGTAAAGCCCACTGACCTGGCCACACATGATAGCTCAATGAAGTAGCTTATCATGTGCAAATTTAGAGCAGCCAAATACTCTAAAGGCACGTTTCTAAATGTGGAGGGGAAAACCAGAGGACCTGGAGAAAAATACAAGTGACCACTGGGAGAACATGCAAACTGCAAATATAAAGGTATCAGGGTCAAGGTCGGGATCGAACCCACGACTTGCTGTTTACCAGGTGAGTTCATTCACCACTGTGGCACCATCTCAAGGTGCTCATAGTGTTCAGCAGGTAAACCAGCAGGTTAGTGTAGAATGGTATGCACCGGACATCACAGGTACAGCCACCGCATTAACATAGTCTGAAATTATAATCTGCAGATGTAGAATATTAAGCATGAGCTGCATCATTAGATCTGGCAATTCGCAAATCCCTCCAGAAGGCCTCTATCCCAATTACAGTCGCGTATTCCACGATCACTGCACATGACTAAATGACACTGAATGCGCCTGATCTTGCCAACTTTGGGAAGCTAAGAAGATTTGAGCCTGTTCAGTATTTGGGTGGGTTTCTGCATGGGAATTCCAGGTGTTGTAGGCTTGGGCTTCAAGGTGGCCAGATGGTAATACAACAATCAATTTCTCTGTATTTGTGCAGAGATTTGAGTGTTATTCCCTTATATGTGTGGGTTTATCCTGACTACTCTGGTTTGCTACCACGTGGCCATATTGCATTATGCAAACATCCCCAAGCAAGACCCTCATGAAAAAGAGTCTTGATATTTAGTGAGGCTTTTATAGGTGAATACAAGGTACATTTATTTTTAGATAATTATTTGTGCAACGTTCATTATTTTATTCTGTATATACATACATTAAATTCCAATAGCCACACAATTACCATTTACCGATGTAGGGTGAAGAAGTACATTGGGTCGTGTTTTTATTGCTTCTTAAAGTAACGAATATACTTATCCACGTTGGTGGTCATATGCATGCTGAGTGACTGAGTGAGAAGCAGATAATAATTAAACCAGCACAATCAGAAAAATATCAGTTTTTTCAAGTGCATGGTTAATCCATCCACATGTATCCAAGAGTTAACCATACTATTTTTTTTATGAACCCATGGCGCTCATCATGCTGAGAGCGCTTCATGAACATGACCCTATTACACCTGTTCACTCAGGAAAGCCTCACTCAGTCTCAAGACTATTTTGCAGGAGGGTCCTACCAAGTTTTTTTTTTTTTTACAGTCGGGGACAATGTTGTTGTGTGCAATCCCAATTGAGTCATTTGCAGGCAATTTTTCACATTGGAATGTTTGGACAATATCAGTTAAATAAAAACGTAACTAAGGGAGGAAAACGGAGCGCCCGGAGGAACCCCATGCAGAACAAGGGGGAGAACATAGACACAGAAAGGCAACCGAGTCGGGAGTCCAACCCAGGACCTGCTTGCTGTGGAGGCACAGGTGGCACCACTGTGCCGTCACCCTGCCGCCCGCTGATGGGGGCTAAGTCGAGTCACGCGAGCCGGGGGTGGGAGGGGGGGGGGCTCGTACTCTGGGCATCCCCGCGGTCGGGCGAGTCGAGTGGCAGCCTGCGCAGGTAGTCCTTGAGCAGCAGCTCGTATCGTGGGATCCTCTGCACGGGCTCCAGCATGTGGTGCTGCAGACTCAGGCAGCCGCTCTCTTTCTGCATCTAAACGCGCATGCAGGGGGGGGGGTACAAAAAAAGCAGCAGCAGCAGCAGCAGCAGGACATGGCACACACAGACTGTCGAGGTAAGTGTTGTTTGCGAGCACCTATGAAGGGCGGCAAGGGATACTAGGGTAAGGGTGGCCGACACCACGTGCGGAGGCATTTATCTCCCCAGTGCTGATGTTTACACACTGCACCAGGTACTTATTTAAGGCTGAATCGATCTAGGGGAGGCCCTGGACCGGTTCAGATAATCATCAACAATGTTGGCTGTGAGCGGGAATTGAACTCGGGTGGCCGGCTTAATAGCGTAGCGCGCTAAACGCTGCGCCCCCGGCTCCCCACACAGGCATGCACGCGTGTGTACACCGGGATGAGCACATGTAACCACATGTCGATTCATCGGTCATAACGCTCATAATTAGGCATTGAATTGTCTGTCAATCCAAAACGCATGACTCATGTAAACAATATGTACACTGGGTGGAGCCGTGACGCAGTTGTTAAGGCACTGCACTATGGCCTAAGATACCTGATTATAATTCCCAGCCATGGCCAACATCAGTCGTGCGTGATATCTGAACCACTTGTGGGTCCCTCCCTTCAAAACCCAATGGTAAGCAGCGTGGTGAAATATGGTCAAAGAGTCCCCATGGCCGATATGACGTGAGCAGGCCTTCATTCAGCAATGCAATGGCTAATGGCTTAAAAAGGGAAATGTCAGTATATCTGTTGGAACTTCTTTCGCATCGTCCCGTAGTCAACTGTGCTAATTGGAGGTGCTAATCATATGGGAATGTTTCAAACTTGATTTGGAGCTTTCGTGACTGCAGGAATTACTCTTTGGTTCTTTCGGTAAAGTCACGTTTAAAGGAAAAAATAAATTAAATAATAGCATACGACGTTTCGATTGCAAAACAAGCAATCATCATCAGGTACAAATGAAAGAAAAAAACAAACCTAGTAAACTTAGAAGTATAATGCAATACAACAGAGAGTCGGCTAACATAACAGTCAACACTCTACCTAGTTGATTACGTTCTTCCAAAGATTGCTGAATTTGAGAGAGAGATAAAACACAGACAAGGAGACACATAAGCAGAGAGAGATAACACAGAGACGCACAGAGAGAGACACACACATAGGCACACAGAGAAACAACGCCTCTGTGTCGAGGCCTTAAATAGTGGTAACGTTTCATTTAGGCAAATGAAGTGAGCAAAACTTGCACACACGAGAAGAACAAACTTAGAAGCAAGACCAAGAAAACAGTAACAAATGAGATGAACACGAATTGATCGTTGAATACTATCGCATTCCCAAATGATGACAATTAATTGAATAGCTGGAGGAGGTAATATTTGTACATGTCTAAGAATGATGTATCGCAGGGGCAACCTTATTTGTGATGTTGCCGATGTGTTTAGATCCTGACCAACTCTTCTTGTTTGGCCACTCGTGTTTCAATACGATTACAGCAATTTATTTTTAAGTGGATGGAGGATAATTGAAAGAGGGAGCAAAGCCCGACCGTTTCAATCTGTCCCATATTGTCAAAGTAATTTATCGCCATCATTTATAACACACAATAGACCACATTCTTTGGGTCTTTTGGTAAAATCACGTAGATAGGTTCAAAGAAAATTACAAAAACCTACGACCTTTCGATCGCAACACAAGCGGTCGTCATCAGGCAAAGGAGTTAGCCTCTGAAGGCAACATGTTTGTAGAGGTTTTGGGATGGGCGTGGCCTAGTGTATCAGCGGCAACCAGGTTCATGGGCAGTGCACCACTGCCAATGCAGCAGCAGCAACAATGACAATGCCGCACTACTACCAATGCAGCAACAATGACAATGCCGCGCTGATACACTTGGGCCACGCCCATCCCAAAACCTTTACAAACATTTTGCCTTCAGAGGCTAATTCCTTTGCCTGATGACGACCGCTTGTGTTGCGATCGAAACGTTGTACTTTTTTTTGTTATTTTCTTTGAACCTATCTACGTGACTTTACCGAAAGACCCAAAGAATATGAATTCCTGCAGTCACGAAAGCTTTACGTCAAGATTGACACAATAGCCCCTTATTGATTTACACATTATTTTGGTGATGCAGCTGGATTGGCAGTGATGCACATGAGGGGGGGGGGGGGGTGCTACATGTGGAGGACGTCAGCTGTTCATGACTATTAATGAGGGGGGCTGACCGACGTGGAGTGACATCACGCGTGGGACAAACAGACATTCTTGGCTCATTATAGTAGTAAATATATAATAGGCAAAGTTTCAGGCATCGGTCCTTCTTAATAGCACGTGAAGAAGGACAAAAAAGTCACCTAATAAAGGTATTTTTTATTTTTGAAGGCAGTGTTATTGACGAAAGCGTTGCTTTTTAACCATCAGTGATTTACAAATGATTTACTGCGATTGCAACTAAACTCGGCAATGCAACACAAGCAAGGTGGATGCTGCGTTTGGCCTTCCCAGCGTGGCTCACATTCATCGGCTACCATCCCCAAGCGCAAACCGGCCTACGTCGAGCACCTCGTGAGCGTCGTGCGACGGGAACGTGGTGCACGCGGTGCGCCCACCTGCACTTCGGTGATGATTTTCTTGAATTGCGGCGAGCGCTGCGACCAGGTGTCTACGAGCTCCATGGCGCGGTCGAAGCACCTGACGTACTCGCCGTACATCATGAGGAAAGGCGCCAACTTCTGCAGGATGTCTCCTATCCTGGGCGTCTCTTCCCTGCGATGCCACATGGCCAAACAACAAACCGGATCATGCACTTTATGGCAACGCGGCTCTGTGGGTATTGAGCCCAGAGGCGGTGCGACTGAATTGGAATCTACAGGCTGGGCTATGGACAGAGGAGCCCCATTTTACTCCTTGCACCAGGGCTCATGCCAACCATTCTTAGCCACTGAAATAATGTAACCACATGTCGCTATTTCACCAATATAGCCAGAGCATTACAAACATGCTGGTGACTTATTTGAAATGGGGTTTTTTTTGGCCATCATATTGTAAATAGGATGACAAGTAGGAATAGTACAAGGATGAGCAATGCACCAATACATTGCAAAATCCTCCTCCACACGATACGGCCAATGAATAAAGTTACTAGAATTGTGGCAACTGCCTGACAATGGTGGTTGTAACTATAAGCAAAACGTCGGTAACCCAATCGTTAAATGTTGTGAGATCGCTCTCCAAAAACACACCAGAGTGCTGAAGCAGCGATACATTTCTACGTTCGATTCCGTGGCAACTTTATTAACTGGCCCTGTCGGGTGGAAGAGGGTTCACAGCACACATTTTACTAACGCGATTCTACCCCATTTATTTATTTTTTTGCTTTGCTTTGAATTTGATGCAAGTCCGGAGTCCTTTGCTCTTTACCAACTGATACAAACTCGCCACAGCCGAATGGCCGCGCGGGGCCCCACGGTCCGGTGCCCACCAAGAAGGAGGGAGCAAGCCCTCGAGGGTGCGGCACGCACACTCGCTCACCATGCCTCCATGCGGCCTTCAAGCTGCGGCAGCAAGAACTCCTTATGAAACAGGTGGATGGAGGAGATGTTTGAGAAGATGTGGTTGATGGTCTCGACCGGAAACGAGCCTCGGTTGGCCTCCTCCAACAGGCGAGCGTAGAACGCCTATTCGGATGATCACACCCAGAAAACAAAAGCCACTGCAAATTATTTTCCCGCCTCTTCTGCCAAGATATCCAATAAAGACAAATGGTGGAGTGTAAAGGCATCACATCTAAGGTACAAAAAAGTAGGACATACCATGGGAAAAAATATCTCACAAGAGGTGAGAACTAAACGTAAATACATTGTCTTAAGTGGCGCATTGTTACGCCACACACGATAAACCAGGACGTGCACAAGTTACCCCCAAAAGAGGACAATCCTTGTACAACCAAGGATGGGTGGCAACCGTACTGATCTCACACATGCTGCACCTTGTCTAGAAGCTGCAGGCGTTGCACGTAGTTGCGCTCGGTGGTCAGGAGCTCTGTGGCGATGAAGAAAAGCTTCTGCTCCGTGCTCGTCTGGAATGACAGCGGCAGGAATACAAGGGAGAGAACATGGTATTAGCACTGTAGAAAGAAGCACTTCCTTGTAGGCTGGAACTTAAAAAAATACTTTTTCATTAAATCAAAAATATGAAGATGGTTTCTAGAAGTCAATATGAGAATAGTCAAGGAAGGAATTAGCATAGAATTTAGCATTGAAATAGCTAAATTAAGGCATTCGCTTGTAACTGCTACAGAAATAGTTACGTTGAAGTCAGAGCATACACATTCACCGAGGCACTTAGTACAAATCAAAACAGGAGAATTTAGCATTGAAATAACTAGGCGAATTTAGCATTGAAATAACTGGGTGATTTGCTAGTGACTGGTTGGTAGCTTAGCTGATTGGAGAATATAGAGTTTATTGATAACATGAAGGTAATTTATATTTTAGTTTTTATTGGTTCACTATATAGTACTGTGAATAGCTCAGATGTGTAGGCATTTCTGTGACCAGTCACTAGCAAATCACCCAGTTATTTCAATGCTAAATTCGCCTAGTTATTTCAATGCTAAATTCTCCTGTTTTGATTTGTACTAAGTGCCTCGGTGAATGTGTATGCTCTGACTTCAACGTAACTATTTCTGTAGCAGTTACAAGCGAATGCCTTAATTTAGCTATTTCAATGCTATTGATGTAAATAGGTACACTGTGTCTGGGTTGGAGGGGTGGTACAGTGATTAGCATGCTGCACTCTGAGCCTCGTGAACCGAGAAAAATTGCTGGCCAGAGTGAATGTCAGTGGCGAGTGATATTTGAACTGGCCCTAAGCTGCCCCCCTTCACCAACCTGCAATGACCAGTGTGGTGAAGTATGAGCATGATGAAAAGGTATGAGGTCTTATATAACAATGGAATGAAAATAGATTTCAAATAATTATTGTGTGTGTTTGTAGCCAGCAGTAAGTGCCAGTGTAGAAATAATAAGGGTTTTAGTTTGTGTAGCTGGTCACCTTTTCTGTATCTTTGGATTCGTGGTCATGTGCAGTGGCACTGTTTCTCTCTTCGTCTGACCCCAAGCAGTCCTCTCCATCCTCCCTCTCTTCCTGATCCGAGGGTGACATCAGCTGGAAGCTCCTCACGTTGCCAACTGCGGGTGCATCGTTGACCACCACAATTTCCTCTGGATACACAGGCCTTAGAAGAGGACTGTCCACCAGGTCCTCACCTGAACTCATAGGTGAGATAGGCCAGTCCAATGACTCGCTGTTCAGCTCTTGAGAGTTCTGGACAACTGCCGCAGACTCCTCCACAGGAGGTTCCCCGTGCTGTGCTGCTGGCTCAAAGTCGGGCAAAGTCTTCGCAAAGCCCTTGGCTTGCCGTTTGTTTTCCAAGCCTCTGGAACCTGATGCCGGTAAGCAGGGCCTATTGTCTTTGTGCGGCACTGAGGTGCCGCATCCTGCCACGTGCGTGCTTTCTTGGCCTAGGAGCCTACGCTGATCCTTGCGCTGGTCGAGAGAGTGAATTTCAACGACCCTGAAAGACACGGACCAAACACAACAAAGTTTTTTTTTTTCACAGGTGCATTGTTTCGTGCATGCGTTAAAGCATCTAAATAGCAGCCATACTTTCAGAAGCACCCAAAGTTTGGATTGAATGAAGTCAGTAAAATTGAAAGGACAATAATTTACAGCCATTTGTCAATCCACTGTTGGATGAAGGGGCCCTCAATGCACCATTGAATGCTGTGGTGAGGGCCTCAGGATCAATTCAGATATCACTCACTGCTGATGATAGCCATGGTCTGGAATCAACCTTGGGTCACATTCATGCATGGTTTTTATTTCCTTCCATGGTTTGCGTTATGGTCGAAACGTCGTGAGAATTTTTATTGTTTTATATATATATTTTATTATTTTATTGTTTCCCTTCAACGTAACTGTACCGAAAGAGCTAAGAATATGTTGCGTTCCCATTTAGTGGTGCTTTGTCTGCGATACAGTAATTGTGTTCACCGATTCACGTTTGGCACAAATTCTACTCACGGTATACTAAGTAGTGGTTGGGATTAAGTTTCAAACAGTTCTTTGTTAAGTTTCATGCTAAAAAAAAGGAGTTGGTAATTTCATTTCATGATTATATAACATGTTACCTAAGACCAAGGAACAGTAAACCCCTGCTTTGGCAGAGTTGAGTGATTACGGCTGTATTTCATCCATACACAGGTGGCCTTTTGAAGGTTGTCCTATCACTCTGCACACAGTATTTATTAATTAGTTCATTCCCTTTGATTTCATCAGACGATAAACCAATAAGGCTTGTCGTCTTTATTGCAAGGGGTGACCCGGGTCAACGTATCACAACTACAGTGCAGTTCGGACATAAAGAGCTCTCAGGTATCAAGAGGAGATGTTTAGTTGCTCATCAGCAACAGACACAAACTCTCAAAACAAGCAAAAAAATAACCCCGTATGACTCTCTGTGCATTTGTATACGTTGCGTATTTTCTATGTTATGTTTTCATTTTACAACCTTTTGTCAATTCATTGTTGGATGATGGCCTCCGCATGTTATGTCAGTCACGGGAGGTTGTCTGACCGTACTTCACCACTCTGGTCAGTGCAGGTTGGTGAAGGTGGTGGGTGCCAGGGACTGGTTTAGATATCACTCGCCACCGGTGCTAGACATGGCCTGGAATTGAAATCGGTCACTGGTGAGGTTTCCAGCTCTGTGGCTCAAAAAATTGGGAGATACAATGGAAATAAGAATATCTCACAATACCGGAAGAGGGGAGCGCTACATGTAAACGCATTGCGTTGAGTGCTGCATTATTACGCAAATGACAATAACCGGGACTTTCAATATCCTGGCAAAACGTACACATTTCCCAGGACATCTACATTAAAGAGGACAATACTGGAAAAACCAGCACAGGTGGAAATTCTTAGTGGTTGGGTTCACAGCATGGTGTTCCAACGACTATAATGCAGTGAATGTTCTCAGCATGCGAGGTTTTTAAAAACATTTTCAGTGCAGCTCCTCAGTGACTGTAACGGGGAAGAGTTGTCAGACCCATTGAGAGGCTGCCCGGGCCTAACAGAGAGAACTGTGCCACGCCGCACTCACTCAGAAGTAGAGTGGCGCTTGAGATCCTCTTCGATCTTGCCCACGAGTGCCCTCACATTGACCCTCTTCGTGAGGCTTTGCTGCGATAGGCGCCCTGCATAAATCACCGACCCACGTCCCTTCACCACTGTTGTGCTCTCCGGCCCTATTGAAGCTGCTGTTGCCGCTTCTGCTGACGCCGATGAGGATGATGATCCAAATGCAGCTGGTGGTTTACTCCTTAATCCTTTAGGGCCCTCAGGAGCTAGCCTATGAATGCTGTCCACTGTGCCAGCATCACCAGCATTGGCGCTGCTCATTTTGTTGAGACTTCGAGCTAAACCTGCTGTGCTGCCACTGCGGTCATCCAAGCTTTTCGATATCACTAAGCGTTTGTCGGACTTCAGGCCAGAGTTGCAGTTAACCAAGCTCGGAGGCTCTGCATGAAGCATATCCACGTGCTTGTCGTCGGCATATTTCAATTTCCCAGACCTCGGTTGTGTTTGCTGTGGTCCGGCACTGTTTGGGATAGCGCCGTTGGATTTTCTTTGCCCAGTAAGTGCCGTGACACCGGCCATTGGGGATTCCAATCTCGGCGAAAAAGTTTGTCGATTACATTTGTGTCCCTTGTCCATGGCGCTCGTGGCCAAACTTTCCCTGTGGCTCTTAGTCACAGCCGATGTGTTCACACTCGATCCTCGTCCCGGCAGTGCTCCATAGCCGTTTAAACCGCGACTGCCCACCGGAGCGGCACCTCCTACCGTCACGAAGTCACGCCCCGTGTGAGCTGTCCTGTCGTCGGGATGCTTCCACGTGGAGGTGTCACTGGCAGTAGCTGACGGAGCGGTCGTGGCATAGCTGGACCTGAGCGGGCGAGCAGACGACGTTGGTCCTTTGCGCATGAGAGGGGCCTCGGAGCTAAGCCGCATGTCTCCAGGGGTGATGGTCTCAAGACTGTCATCGATTGTCTGGTCAGAACTAAGTCTGGGGGACAACTGCGAGATTTTTGCAAGGGTGCTGTACTCTCTCGTGAACGCCGGTGAGTGGGTGTCCACTGCAGTGAAGCTTTTGCCGGACCTGGCCTCCAGCCGAACGGGGCTGTGCTGCTGGTGATGGTCTGGGGATGGAAGGAACAGCAGAACAGACAGGCAGGCAGTAGGTAAAACACATATAACAACAACAGAGACAACAGACTTTTGGGGCAAGTGCTGTTAGTGAACATCTATGACGGCTAGCACAGCGTATGAGGTGGTGGATTTGGCCAGTTGTCGTTGTTTCACCCTTGCTGTTGGTTACACACTGTATCAGGTCGTCATTTAAGACTGAATCGACCTCAGGGAGGTCCAGGAAACTTTCAGAAAGTGCCACTGATATGAGCCATGGCCAGAAATTGAACTCAGGTGGCTGGGCTCATACAGCAACGCGGGAAGAACTACCGATCCCTCTATCACACGCACAAACATAACGCAGACATTAATAATATGGAAACACACGTGTGTGCATTGTGTACACACGTGAAAATACAGCATAGCATGGGCAGAAGTTAAACATAACTTGGAAACACACACACACGTGTACTTAAACTCACACGTAATCTCCATGTGCTACTCAGCAGTTTTATTGCAATGCTGAAAAATCCGTACTAACCCATGTGCGGACCAAGTGTTAAAACGATTCATGTTAGTTACAAATTACACATTGTAGTTGGACAAGCATTATGTCAATCCACTGCTAAATGACGGTCTCCATAAGCAATGCAGGTCAAAAGGGGTTATTAAACCGTCCTTCACACCACGCTGGTCAGTGTGGGTTGATATACCGTAGGTGGCACGGTTACCACCTGTCTTGGTGGTGGAAAGTCAGGTGGCCAGAATATTATCTCACAATGCCAGAAAATGTGAGGACTATGTTTTAATGCATTGTCTTTTGGGGTGTATTATTAAAAACTGACAAAAACTGGAACTTTATATCCCAGAAAGACCTCCACATTTCCCAGGACAACTACGACAAAACACAAGATGATCCTGGGAAGACCAGAACAGGTGGCAGATTTGGCATGAGGGAGCAATGACAAGGTGATACATGCAAATTATCGTTACCAGGGGGAGGACAGTGAGAGATGTAAACATAGCACTGTAAGGTCTTAACAATAAATGTGATAAGTGATAACTTAAGTGATAACGCTAACGTAAAACATATCTTGTAAATAAAAAAAATCATATACATGGGAAAATATTATACCAATCAAGATTTTTACTTACTCTGGCAATCTTGTAAATCACTCATTTTACATCTTCTCATCACCATAAACCATCATTGTTATCAACCATTGCCTATCTACTGCTGGATGAAGGCCTCCCCATGCCAATGCCGTTCCCCCCAATTCCCCTCGCTAATAAATATGAACTGGTCTCTTCCCGTGGTGGTCATACTCTTAGTGGCCGGCGTTCCCTCCTATGGCTGCTATTCCGTTGTCAGTCTCCAATCAGCACGGTTGACTACGTACGGTGCAAAAGAAGTTCAACATACATGCATGCGGTCTCGACCATCTGCTATCTTCCCTTCTCGCAATAGGTCCTGCCTAAGCGCAGTTACTTCTCTGCACATCCTATACAATGTCTTTAATTTTCATGTGTTTCTTGACACACGTGTATATATGTCCATATATAGGTATGGAATGCACTGTAACTCTACGTGTTGTCTCCATGGGTTCCAATCTGGTGAAATAAAGGTAAACTATAGCTATTATTATAATTTTGTATTCCTATTTAATTAACAACACTGAATGTCTTTTCTTGCAGCCCATTTGTCAACCCACTGCTGGATGTACTCACAATCGCAAGTGATGTGGCACTGCACAACAATCGTGAAAACAAGTGCACAAAATAAACGTGGATTTCTGAACAATACAGTTTGCTTCCTGATGCACACTGTGTGCAGGAAGTAAGTGTTAGCTGTGCTCATTTTTCTTGCGGGCCAACAGTTTGGGGTTATGAAGATAAGCTACATTCCAACGATCTCACCTATTTTATTTTCACAAAACCAACTCGATCCGTTCATAACAACGTCCAGTTTCTAGCTATTTAATCAAAACATTTATATGCATCATTTGCTAAGAGATTCCAAACCGAAATTTGCCAGTGAGTATGACAAACAAGCTCATCTGTTTTGGGCCTCCAAGCGACGGGATGATTTCACTCCACTCTGTAGAACACGGCAAGCTGGAAAAACCCGTTCATTCAACACACAAGGACATTGGATTGCCCAGACCACATCTGAAATTTTTAATAAAAAATACTGCATTGCAAGTGGTTACATTTACACACCCTTTCTGTGACATTGTGTGGGAGCCGAGTGTCCTATGACGTTACTCCAATATATCTAAGGGGTTATCTTGGACAGAAGCTTTACCTTCAAGTCCAACATTAAACAGATCTGTGAAATTAGCAAATCAAGAATTTCCCTCCTTTAGAAATTGTTCTGCGAACTGCTGCACTATCACTTATCTACTCAGTAGCAGAGTACCGTGATCCAAGCCTGGTCCGGGAACGCATACACAAAACTGCTAGATGTGCAATTAAATAAGGCAATGCGCCTCAAAACACTGAAACTGACCACCGATCCCCTGTCTCCGTGTTCTGATGAACATTCTGCCACCAAATGTTTGCAGAGACATCGCACAAACTGCAAGGGAGTTTACACGTGTTCTTCCCAACAACAACAACAACCAGGACCTCACCAATTGCACCCTGCTGACAACTCCATTCCCAAATGGAGCTGATATGTGATGCACGCCGATAGTTTTCATTCATCAGAGGCCTCCTGAGCTGGTTGGGAACCAAATCTCTTGCTTGGTTTCCCGATCCCTAGCACGATCACCGTCCCCTGATATGTTTTTACCCTCCCTTGGCTTGCACCAAAACCACTGGTGTTTTTTACAGTATTCCATTGTCACCATAAACACATGTTGCCTGAATTATCGTATTGCTTGGGTCTCCTTCGTCTCTTGAAGTTGTTCCAAGAAGGTATTTTTCCATGCTTCGAATAACATGTGATAAGTGATCACGCTAACCTGAAACACAGCTACTCTTCACAAGTATACAAAATAACAAAACATTGAACCACATTGAGCATCAAACTCAGCATATTGTGAAAAGGTCTAAGAAATAATAATTTTGGTGCTTCATGATACGTTTCTTTGTGGTGAGATCGTATACAAAGATTAGATCATGTCAGTATCATGCAATAATATACGATTTAACCCAAAATAAGCGAATTATGAATTATATTAGTTGCGAAAGCCTACCTATGGCATTTTGGTGTCGGACTGCTGCAAAATCCACCCTTGACACCACTTATTCGGTCACCATCGCTAAATTTATCATGGAAAATTTCCTGGGGGCCCCCTTAACCCCGAAACCACCATACCACCACTCAACGTCACCCCCCCCTGAACTATATTTTTCGGGGCTCAACCATGGATAAACCCCTCAATGCTATATCACCCTGGATTAATTATACATTTCTATCGCTAAATATTGCAAAAATATAAGTCTTTGCTATCAGCAAAAAGTCCACTTTCAGTAAAGACTCAACTTTGATCATGCACCTCCTAAACTTGGGAGACTACACTGGCTGAGTGTAGAACCTTGGATTGTCAAATGCTGCCAAGCTCTCGTTCAATACCCACATCTTTCAACTATGCATGACCTTCTTCTCCCATCGACAATACACCTTCTGCATCGAGCACTTCCTTGCCCCAGCTGCTGCAGATACCCTCATCCTATTTGGACTTGACTACTGCAACTTTCACCTCTATGGTCTGCCCACATCGCCCCCAGCTCCAAACTTCAGATGATCCAAAATACTTGGGCTAGACTACTCATAAATGAGACCATAGCAAAACTCACTCACAATTTAACTACCCTCACCATCTTAAGGATCCTCCCTGGGCTCGCCTTTACAAGCATGTTCAGATGTGCTTCTGCGGCCGTCTGGAACGCTCTTCCTTCCGGTTTTAGGAAGCCACTGGAGTTATGCATTTTAAAACTAGACTGAAACCTAATTTCTTTAGAACTGCTGTTTGTGTTTAGTTTGTTGTCCTTCTCCCGCACCTCATATTAGCACGGTTGGCTACATTTTGCTCTACATCCCCCCTTCAGTTGCTCTCCACAAAAGTAAGCAATGCTTTCTGTTGAAAACGTCCAATCGACCTTCACTCTATGGGAGGTCACTCATTCTCCTCAGATTCCCTCGTAGTTTGGAACTCCCTCTTCCGAGCCATCGGCGATGTCGACTCCCTACCTCTGTTTAAGTCCAGGCGACATACACTTCCTCTGCTCTGCTCATAACTGTCTCTTGTCGTAAAGAGTAAATACATTTCGTATTATATATATGTACACATACTCACAACTAACATTTCCCCGTGATGCCCATCCCACTGATGAAGTTTTATTGACATTCTCAATCAATTTAAAATGTTACGTGCCAATATCGATCTAAATGATATATAAATGCTCACAGAATGTATAGTATCGTATATTGCTGCTTGACTAAATCATGTGGTATCACACATCTCAGACACATGTCACTGCACATCCAATAACTCCTAACCCACATGCTCAAGTTAACATCGTCATGTCCCACACGCATATCAGCACAAGTCCCCGTGTGCCATTATTTAAGTTGACTTCTCTCAGGCACAGCAAAACATAGAGCATTTCTTTAGAAGCCAACTGTAAGAACGCACTTGGAAGAATTGAAAGTGCAGTACAACACAGTAGTACTGTATTTGGAAAACCACCTAAAACCACATTCTTTCATATTTGTTATCGTTTTAAAATACGCTTGTGTAAAATTACGCCTCCTTTTTCCCGCCCTCCCACACCCGTGCCAAACACATGCAAATCGTTAAAGTTTGAAACACATAACAGTCTTGTGTTTACACCACAGGAAGCTATGGACTTGTTTTGGGCACTGGAGAATTTAATAATACTGTAATGCCAAATATTTACCTAGGAAAACCTCACTCGGGCCCAGCATTGGCATTAGCACGGTTGGCTACGTACGGTGCGAAAGACGTTCAACATACATACGTACATGCGTTGGCCAATACCT